TCACCGACCCAACTACTAGTCTGGCCCTCACTGGCTTATCTATGGGAGAGCGGACGGGATCCCGAGTTTTCCAGTGGGTATGGTCGTATGTGATGATTCTGTTCAGTTTGATTACCTATAAGACTGACTTGAGTGTGCAAGGAGAACCAAAATTGTTTGTGTTGTATTGTGTTGGCGGCGGCGGCGGTGGTGGTGGTATTGGCGGGAATAATTGTTAAGTCAATCAGTTAGTGTAGTAATGAATGTGAAAACCTCATCTTTCAACATACCCCCAAAAACATTACAGCGGGATGCAGGGATAGGAATTAAGTAAGAGGGATAGATAGATAGATGAATAGATGAATGGTTGGATGGTAACAATTGATATTCCAGATATCTTCTATAGGTAGGTACGCATCTCTATGTCCATCCGGTCTGGTTCCAGCTGCTAACCACAACCACCAACCAACCAACCAACCAACCAACACTTTGCGCACATCAATGTCCCCAAGAACCAAAATGCGCATGTCTATTACTCTCCCTCTCCCTAGCCCTCTAATCCCCTTACCGACTACTGACTTTCTTTCTCCAATCCTTTCTTCCATACCTCCCAATTCTTCATCACCGACCCAGCAGTTAAGAAAAGATGCCCAAAAAGAATCAAAAAGTTATCGTAACATAAACTCATAACAACATCGTACCCCAACCGTGCCTCAAACCAAACCAAAATGAAATCCTTTTTCTTGTTCTTTTTTTTGTGTTCAGAAATCCCCAGTAAAAAGAATATAAAGACCACAATGGCTGGCCTAAGCCGACGCCAAACCCAGATAAAAAGGATGAATAAATGGTTTAAAAAAATACAATATGTATATGTAAAAAGAAGTGATTAGAGATGGGATATGTAAACGCCGGTCGCACCGTGAATGCGGAAAAGAAAAAGAGATAAAGAAGATAAAAGTGTGGAAAAAAAAAAAAAAAAAAAAAAGCGCTGCGACCCAGTGAAGATAATGTGAAGAGCAGAAGTAGTAAAAAAGTGAAAAGGGGGTGAGTGATATGTGAAAAAGCCCACTTGAGCGTATGTACTAGGCCTGAGCCCATCTCCGTCTTGTCTGTCTATACAACTGCAGTTGGTGGGTTGAAGATGAGATAATGTGAAGCAGATGCACCGAGCGTTGACACTCCCCTTTCCCGTCTGATATTTGGAATGGCAGCATTCTCCATGCAACTCAATTCCCACCCTTCCTCATACTCCCGACCCTACCGAGGTTGGCGAACCACCTTCTCTTCCCACCAGCCGCACTCTCTCTCCGCCCACCTTGACTCTGCGGCGGCCCATCACCAGACCCAAGCGACTTTGAAAAGGAATTCTGGATGCTCGACAGCAGACTACCGCCTTCTCCATCGCCACCACTGGTAACCGGCCTCTGAGGCGGCTCCGCCGAGTGTCTCCCATCCCTATAGTCCCCAAAAGAAGATTGATAAAGCGGGACTCCTCCCGCTTCATCATCAGCTCTATCAGCAACTGCATCATTCTTCTTCGTCGGTCTGATCCGCTTTATGGGAGGAGGTGTAGCGCCAGTATGGTCACCGTCGGCGGCCATTTCGGAATTACGTCTGCCCCACGAAGAGTGACCAAAATCAGACGGACGGTCCCTCGACGAAAGAGAGAACGACGCAGAGACGAAAGAGGGGGCGGGGTTGGAGCTGTGGGCTTGGGAAGAGGAGGGTTCAACCGAGCCGGTCGATCTTCTAAAAAGACTGTTGAGCTTTGAGCGAGCAGGGTGTGAGGCCATGGGGGGGTAATGCCGCTTGGAGGACTTTTCCTTTCCCTCTTTAGGTGGGGGGTTGAAGAGCGTTTTGGGTGGGACAGTGGCTGCTCGGTGGTCAATATCAAAGGACAAGTCTGACGATGGGTCGATTTCGCTTCGTTGGCCAATGCTATTGCTGCGGATTGTCGTCATGGTCGTTCGCGGAGAGTCCCTGTTGCTCTTCCTTCCTTGGGGGTCCCTCAAGGGAGTCTGGAACTGCCGAATGGTGGGTGAGGCCGGCAAACTGCTAGCTGAGCCTGACAGTGACCCATCCAAGCCCGGGATATGGTGGCCCATTGTTGCCCTGAGGCTTGACCCGCGTTCCGGCGGCGGCGGCGCCATATTCCTAACTTCGTGCAGTCCTGCTAAACCCGAGCCAAAGATTGGTGTGGGAAGTAAGTCGCCCATGTAGCTTCGACCGCCAAATGCGGAATCGGCATTCGAGCTCCCACTAGCTACTCGTACGCCGCCTGCACACTTGTATCCCGTTCCATCGAGCTTTCCGTAAATCGCATCTGACATCCAGCCTTGTGATCCGGTAGGGAAAGAAAACAAGTCTGGCGACACTCGGCCATGATCCGTTTCGCGACCGCCGACCTGGGACACGGAGCTCAGCGGATCCAGTGGTGGTACTATTTTGTTCGGCTTTTGGCTCTCCCTCAGCCACAAATCGATACTCGAAGCAAAAGATTTCGTCCTTCCATCCGCCACGACGTCATACTCGTCCTCCTCACTCGACCAGCTCTTGCGGCCTCCATGCTCTTCTGATCGTCGAGCATTACTAGCAGAAGGCGGCCGTTCCGACTCCGACGTCGTGTAACAAAAATCCAACATCGCTCCTTCGCTCTCGAGTCCTCGGAGACTGTTGAAAGCCGTGATGGACGCCGGCTGGCTCTGTTGTCGGCGCGACATTTGAAGGTGATCCTCATCCTCATCTCCCGAGTGCACCGAGGCCGTCTCACCCGAAGAAGCGATATTGGCCGGCCCGTTGCCCGAACTTTGTCCCTTTGACAGTGAGTCATCTGATATTTGAAGGACGCGCAGGGTCGAAGTTGAAATGGTGTCGGGGGTGGGTGGAAGACCACTATGCACGCGAGAGAAGTCCCTTACCGAAGACCCATGCGTATATACCTTTTGTACAGAGGTCCTGTTTGTTCCTCGGGAGGTAGAGTCTGCTTGTGACTTGACCGATGCTGCGCCTGTCTCCTGGTCGAGCTTGTGCCTTGAACCGGACTTGTCTGCCAAGGAGGCAGTCCTGGGTTCATCTAACACTTGATCAGCTGCCTTGTCAATGCCAAGACCAAGCTGACTCTTGCGGAATGAGCTTGACCTGTTTGTTGCTATCGGCGATAGCGGGCGACGGCTGGACTTTGTGGGGGTAGCCTCGGGCATTAGCGAGTTTCGGTTTGGCATGGAAGTCAGGTGCTCTTCAGCCCCATCCACGTGCGGTGGGCTCTGGGGACGGAGCGAAGAGCTGGCCTCGTTCTGGCCGTAGATGCTCAAGAAGGAACTCTCGCTGAGAAGACTAAATGCTGGGCTACCAACCTTGATCAACTCGCTCCGATTCGTTTCTGGCGACTCCTCCTCCGACAACTGACCCAGGCCCAGTCCGCTAGCTCGCGATTCAAGGTAGACGTTTCGGAGGGTTTCGGTGTTCTCGGTTGGCTCCGTAAGGAAACTCGGCATGCGATGAAGGGCCTTTTGCTCGCCGGCCCTGAGGGTATCCGGTGTTTCGTTACGTGAAGAGACGGAATCAGAGGCGTCGTGGTGCGACTTGTAGAGTCCTTCCGCCTCCACCTGCCTGACCATTTCCCGTTCCTTGAGCAGATTCTCAATCCGAGACTCAAGAGTAACGATCATGGCCACAGCTTCCTCAACCGCCTTGTCCTTCTTCTCCAGCTCTTCCAACAAGACGTCATTGAGGTCCTGTGTCTCCCTTTGCTCCCTCCTCAACTGGTCTTTCTCCAGTTCCAGCTTCTCAATTAGCTCCTCCAAAGCCGTCTGCTTTTCGCGCCGATGAAAGAGTTCCAGTTTGAGGTCAAAGTTTTGTTTGTGTAGCTTGGACATGAGTTCTTGGGCATCCTTCATACACGGCGCTTGTTGTTCGTTTTTCTTGGTACTGATTTCCGAGGCGATGGTGGGAAGTCGACTCTTGGTGCCCGTTGTTGGTCTGGCTGGCGAGGCAATCGGACTGGTAAAGCCAACGGAAGTCTTGGGTCTCTCAATGGGCTGTTTCCCGCAAGCTCGGTCGGCCTCCATCTTTCGTGTTCGTTCGATCCGTTCTTGCAAATACTCTGACATGGGGGGCAAGGCCAGGATGTCAACGCGATCGCGGGAGAAGGAGACTTTATGTTGCTTGGAGGAGCTCGGCGGACGGGAGGATCGGGGGCGGTCCTGGGGTGGTTGCGCCTGTGTCTGGTGATTGCCATTGGGGTTGCTGGTTCGGGTACGTGTCGAACTAGCGCTTATGCTTTCCCTGGAAGCAGGTCGCAAGCTGGAAAGGGGGCGGATGGGGCGGTCATGGGAACAAATGTCTATGGCGGACTCCATAGTGGGCGGCCTGCTGGACAAACGGCGCCGTCGGTGGGATAACCATACAACGCGGTACCGACGTCGACAACAAGGTGACGAGCCAACGATATGCTCGCCGTGTTTCTCAAATGTCTCGGTTTCGAAACGACAGGCCGTCGCAAAGTGACAGTTGTGTCAGGATGATGCCTGCTCAGGAATATGTCGTCGGCGTCCGGGGGGTAAAGGTCAAAAGCGCCGTTCGAGACAGTAAGTCAAGAGGACGGAAGGCCGCCTTGCATCAACAGGTTGGCAGTGTCATGTAGTACGGTTCGGGGTGATGTGCCGGTTCGATGTCGTGGAGCAACGGGGTACGGCAGACGGGAGGTGCGAACGACGGGAGAAGTCGAGAAAGAGGAACGATCGGACGGGACCCGGAGAAGGGGAGGGGGAAAGAGAACCACAGTCAGTCAATGGACTGCAGGTTTGCGCAGCTTTCCGAGCTCGACGTTGGCCTGTCTTGGACCGTCACAAATCTCGGGCGATTGATCGTTTCTTTTCCCGTTTATAGAATGCGCGAATAGAATTGGTCGACCAACTGGGCTGTGTCGTTCTAGGGGAAGGCTTCTTTCTTTTTTCTCCGATGTCTCAGGCGCTCCAATTGGCAATGAACGGCGGCCGAGGAGGGATGGTGCGACGGCGCGACTGTATAAGGTAAGGTAGGTACTTTTTCATCCAGGCCAAGGCAGCAGAGTCGAAGGATGGGACTCTTGTGAATCTCGATGTAGTCGCAAAAATGTCACAACACCCACTCACTTGACTGCTGGCCGTGGGGTATGGTCGAGATGGAAGCCCGTAGTTGGAGGGAATGATGGTGATGATCACGGACGGAATGCGCAAACTAAGAAAAAAAGGGGACAAGTTCCCCAAAGGTTCTCGAAAGTGGAGGATGTCTCTGAAATGGATGGTGTGGAGCGGGCGAATGACGGGATTCGCCATGTTTTGGGCCTGCAGCAGCGCAGCGCCCTGGATTGGATTTTGGTTGGTGAGAAGCGGGGTGACGAGCAGTGGTGACAGACGCAATGCAGTGGTGACGGACAGCACTTTGCACTGGACCTGCTTTGAGCGGCATTGGATGCTGTGGACCTCTGCTGTGCTGCCCCAAATGGCTGTCAATCCTCCTGCCAAGCATGCAATGTCGACAGGTACTGAATGAAATGATGCCTGATAGAGGTAGATAGCTCCTGTCTTGTTCTCTTTTTCTCTCGCCATTCAACATCCTCCCTCCTAAGGGAAGTGACTGATTTTCCTACCCCTCACCAACCCAGGCAGATCTACCAACACCATCGAAGAGTAGTAGTGTGTGCCTCAACAAACATTTTCGTGCATCATCAACGAACTGGGCATCACCAGCAAGTTGTGATAGATGGTTTGGTTCGCCAACAACGCGCCAATCATGTTCCTTGTCACACTTACGCCCCCTTGTGGCCTCCGAATTCCGCACTCGTTCCCAGCGTCGTGGCTCCATGGATCCAGGGGTTTTGTCCCAATCATCACCCTGCCACTGGCCCCTTGTAGCTAACATCACCATCACCAGCACCACTTTTGTAATGCCCACTGCCTGGGCCTAGCTGAGGAATATGCCAAGGAAATTCATAGAATTCTCTGGACGTGGTCGGAAGCTGCGCGACCGGAAGGAAGCTCCTTATGCACCTTGCCCTCTCAAATTGAAAAGTCAAAGAACGAAAAGAAACGACATCACCCAGGTGGAGTTTCGTGGTTCATGCCCCCCCTGTGGTGGTTGGTTGCCCAGAATCATGCCTGGAAATCTGGAATAGCAATGGCAGGGAAGTCCCAATGCCGTGTTCGCCCTACATTGTGCGGGGACGCAGATCCGCGGGACGGGAAAAAGGGGTCGTGATGAGGTGTCTTTAAACTACAACAGTAGGAACCCCTGTTAATGCCAACACCCCTTTTTGCAAATTACCCTTTTTTATGAACGACTCAAGTTACCCGCAATGCCTCTGGTGGTCAGGACTGCTGATTGCCATATGCAACGCTGATGGCCCGAATTTGTAATTCCATCAAACTGCATCACATCCTTGCCAAAGGGGGGGTTTTTGCGAAAGGGGGATCGGGTGCACAGACCAGAGACGGGCCTTCTGGTTACCCTGTCACCAAAGTCAGACCCCAGTCAATGCGAATCCAGCCTGTCAGCGTTGTAAATTACAGTTTGCAACCACCTAGAGGTAATCTTTCTCACGTCTCCAGAGGAAACTCCGGTTGGCCAAGATATTTCCATGTGAAAAGGGTGAATTTGCAAATGGTATTCTGCACATTGAAAGTGGAGGGCTTCTATTGTAAGCTACACCATCACGACGATACAAAGACCACCAGCTTCTATTTCTCACAGGCCTCCTCCTCGTCAGCCAAGCTTCAAGCCTGTATCCTAATGCACATCATTATCGGCCTGAAGCGTCTCCGTAACCCATGCCGCCCAACGTACCACCAGCTCCACTGATCGCCCGGTTCCGATAGCGGTAATAGTGGACCACGACGACGTCACCTAACAATTGGTGCCCAGGCTAGGTCGCCAGGCTTCTCGCGGCAACCTAATTTCGTCCCCTATTGCACTTCAACCTAAACACGCCTGATTGTGAAGCTTAAACATGCACAACCACATCATCCATCGGACATCCCTTCGCAACCGACTTGGGCCACGTCTTCTCACTGATAATCTTCCTCGTCAACTCCATCAAGTTATCCGCCAACTCGTCGCTCTGCGCAAGGTCACTGCCCGCCTCCGCCTTGGCCGGCGCGCAAATCCACTGACCGCCCTCGTTGGCCATGGTGACCGCGTACACCGTTGGCACCGCGCCCTCAAACTGGTCCTTCTTGAACGGTTCCGCGAGATGGGACACAGCGTATCCGCTGATGGGGTAGCTGTTTCTTTGTTAGTATCATCAACCAAAAAAAGAAAATGAGAAAAAAAAAAAAACAAAAAGAAACCCACGGCTCATGAATATCCTTCACGCTCTGCTTCGTCGACACAATCCCCGGATGCGTCGCATTCATCACCACCCTCCCTTTCTTTCCAGTATCCATCTTTCTCGTCACCTCCCTATCAAAATACCTCGCATACAAAATCCCCGCCAACTTGCTCCGCCCATACTGTCCATTTGGCCCCACATCCTCATTAATCTCCTCCAGGCTCTTGAACTGCGTCCCCTTCGGCGCCGCACTATGCAAGTTGGAACTCTGATTACTGATGCGCACCGTCTCGCCCGTTTCTTCCGCCGTCTTTTGCAAAAGCGGCAGCAAATGGCTCGTCAGAACCACATGTCCCATGTGATTCGTCGCCATGTGCTTATCCACCCCGTAACTCGTCAGTCCGGCCGTCATGATGCCCCTACCGCTATTATTCACCAGAATATCGAGTCGGTCCGTGTCCTTCTTGATCTGCTCGGCTACTACGGCGGTTTGCGCCCAGTCTTCTAGGTCGCACTGGATCCAGTGCACGCGATCGGCTTTGTCTTGTCCGAGCTCGGACGCGATGGAAGCTAGTGCGCCGTCGAAGACTTCGCGCTTGCGCGAGAGGATGAACAGTTTGGAGAGGTTGTGTTTGATGAGGGTGTAGGCGACGCCGTAGCCGATGCCTTCGGAGCCGCCGGTGACGACGGCCACTTTGCCGCTTAGGTCGGGGGTGTCGTCGAGGGAGAAGGATGTGGTGCCGATGTTGTGGGCGGGGCCGCCGAAGTTTTCGGCGATGGCGTCCTGGAAGTGGAAGGTGTCAGTGACTTGTTTGTGAAAAGGATAACTAGGTGAGTTGCTATTGGAAGAAAGAGGGTACACATACTCGTATCTTGTCCATACCGGCTTGTACGTTGGCGAGGTGGCGGGCTTCAGTTGTCGAGAAGGGTCGTCTGATTGGGATGGCGGATGATGATCGTACAGCAGCTGATGATATGATGGGTATAAGTCTGCTGGATCGGGGAACTAGAGATGTCGGTGACAAAGTAGCAGTGCGAGCGAGGCGTTGAGAAAGTTTAGTCGACATGGTAAGTGAAATGAGCTGCTGTCAAGGGATATTATCGTCGTCCAGCGATATTCCGTCTTATTGTATCTTGTCGTGGCAAAAGATCAATTGAGCAGCTCCCTAGGTCTACAACTTGGCAACGAGGGATGTCCATCCTCTACGGATCATATATCGTAAGAAAGTCTCAGCCGATACCATCATTCGTACTCCCAAGTCTCGCATTCGATCTGGCCTCGCTGAGGCTCAAAGGCCAGATGACGTTGACCTGACTTAAAACCACACGGGAAAATGGCAGCAAGATTGAGGGAATGCATCGGATCTGTGCCGCTCCGAAGATCTCGGTGCGGAGGCCTGGGCTGCAAGTATCGATTTGCAGGCGCGCTTACACGGGATTGGCCAGCGCTTGAGATCCCGCTAAGATCCCGCTGAGATCCATCCAATGGGTGCGCTTTTTGGCAATCGGCATGACGGTATTGAATGACTTCTGCTTTCTAGGCAATGACGAGTATATAAAGAAAAAAGAAATGATGGATACGATAACCAGAAGAGCGTAAAAAGAGTGCGATGCCCCGTTGTTAATTTGATGACCGTTACATTTCCCTCTCGCCACCACTGACCGCCAGGACATCGACAAAAGGCTGCTTCAGAGAACGAAGCAATGAATTGCTTTCCCAAGTAGACGTACAGTGTACGTTGACGAACGACAAAAAAAACATGAAAAAAAAAAAAAAAAAAAAAAGGAAAGGTGACCATGTAAGGAAAAACAAATCCACAAACTTTATCATCAATGCACTCTGTCCTGAACAACATCCTGGCTCGCTCTGCTTCTCTCTTCTTCTTCGATGGCTGCATGTGCCCTCTCTCCGCGCGCTCGCCTGTCGATGATTCTTCTTCCTGCATCAACCGGACCCATTTCCAGAGCAAAAGCCCCCGCATCATCTTCCAGCAGACTTGGATAGCGTCTGAGGATGAGATCTATCCTTGAGGGCCGCTCATCCATTCTCGCATCTTCGAATTTGTGTTCAATCCGTTTCGCGAACTCTTTCTCGCGGATTTTCCGTCTTGCTTCATTTTCCGCAACTCGTCTCATCTGCCTTGCTTCAGATTCAATCCTGTTTCTCAGCGTGTTTACTTGAAAGTGCTCTTTGTTGTGGAACTGTAACCAAAAACCAAGCAGCCCCAAGCGTACAGTCACCACGGTGAACAAATAGACCACTGTGCTAGCTAACAACAGCGGCAGAGTGGCGCTGGCCTTGCACGTGGACCACATAACTCCTCGGACGGACTTGCTGAATGCAACGATAATAGTAGCAGCGATGATGGAGAGAGATATCGGGACTAGATATATGGTATCACTCCGTATCAACACCCGGCTATTGCATGACGAACTTGGATATCTTACTTACACATAATTCCGAACTGTTGTTCAAGTGACATAGGGTTCTCACCTGAGAACTCAATATTGTTCATGCCGAAGATACTCGAAATGAACGAGAGAGGTACCTGGAATACACGTTAGAACAGTGATGTATACCTGAGATGCGTTAAAGGCTCATTGTTACTTACGAATATGATGGTCACAACTGTAAACATCATAACAGCTCTACCTTGACTGGTGGATTCATCGGCTTGTCGCATCGACTCTTGTGCTTTTATGAGACTGGCATGTTGTTGTTTCAAGTTCACTAGGTCATTTATCTAAAGACGATTTGATTAGACTACCCCCGAACCTCGAGTTGTGATCAAAAGGTCATATAGCTTACGACTGCCGCTGTGCGCTTGGTCCATTTCTGCAGTCTTTCCAGTTCGCTTAGCTGATCACCTAATTTCTGAAGCAGATTTTGGGATTGCCCTCGAAACCGCAAGCGCTTGTCCTTATTCTGGTTCCCAGACAAGTTTTTCTCAGCATGTTGACAGAATCGGCGAACGAAAGTATCCTGTTGTTTCTGAACATCGAGCATGACATCAAGGTCAATCAAGACTTGCCGAAGCTCTTGTTGAAGCTTCTAGATATTGACAATCTCGTTAGGAACATTACTTCCCTGCGGTTGCTTGGCTCGAAGCAAGGGATCCTTACCTCTTCTTCGGTGTTGTCTAACAAGCGAAGGCGTAGCGATGACAGATCAGACAACTTAGGATGATCGCTGGGTATACGGCGGATTCTGGATCTAAGGTCGTCAAGCATTCTCGCATGTCGATTACCCTAGAGGTGGAGTATAACTAACGTTAGACCCTCGAATGCTTCCTCCATCCCATAGTCTTGAGTTCACGGGTTTACTTACAATACGTCCAATGACTTCTGAAAATGTATCTAGAACTTTTGGTCGACTCTGCCCACGGTATGGATTAGAGACTGCAGATAACTTGACATTGAACACGGTGCCATCCGACTTGCATTGAGGTTCGTTTGTTCAAGCAGCACAGTGCTGCATTCGCCTAGTATTAGTAGCCCTAGTTCATAGACTGATTGAATCTGGTGGTCGATCTGCGTCGTCGCCAAGGGTCTCAGCCGGGCACGAATCGACTCGTGAATGCCATTTACGGTCTGTCTAGCGTTCTTTCGCCAGCTTTGTGGAAAAGACGTGATGATGGTTTGCTCGTCAAGGATCCACATCCATATCTGATCTACCATTATCAGTCGTTGCACCTGCATGATATTTTGCCTGCATTCCTCGCATCCATAATGGTCATCATAGGCGTAATGCTTAGTCAGGGGCCTTGCTGCTGATAGACGTTGTAGCCGAAGCTGCTTAGCTTTATCGATTTCCGAATTGATTCGCTGGCCGAATCCCATAAAATCTTGCGGCAACGATACGAATCTGCGAGAAAGCCCTGTCAGATTACTTGCTTCATACACAAGTTGTTGTGTTGAAGTGCGGGTACCAACTGGTAAAAGGGATCAGCATCACAGCTGGTCTCTTGACAGACTGTTTGGTCCTTATCACGCGATACTGTTGACTCGAATCCTCTATTGATGAATTGACGTAGGGTTCGGCGGGGATGAAGCGGGGATTTATGGAACAGATATCCCTCAACCATTTGTCGGTCTTTCATTATCGACATTGCCTCATAGAGTCGAGCTGCGTCAATTAGATATTGCCCAAGCTGACTGCTAACTTGTAGTCGCCCTGTCTCGTCGATTCCCACGTTCGCGTTCACTCCCCGGGGGAAAAACATGCGCTCGACGGCCGATGTCAAGCTCCTTATATCTGTAATCCGACGCGGCTGAGTGACGCGATAAACTGTACTATTGCTGTCAGTGGAATTGGAGTCATCATGGTCATTTTATTTCTCAGATCCAGGCCTTGGAAGTTCACTTCGATTTATGACGCGATGTAATCTTTGTACCTCCTTTTTGACTCGGTCCTTTTGGCGTTGCCGTTCCGACTTGCCATCAATTGTCTTTGATAACGTTTGTTGTGTACGTGCGGTCTCCCAGTGAAGATAAGGCATCTGTCTCTGTTAGTCCATGATATGGTTAGCGAACAGGGCGCGAACGTACAAATAGGACAATGTTCTTTGGACTCTGCTCAATTATGTCCGTATTAGACGATACTATTTCACACAAGGCGCGCATGTGTCTCGTATGAACAATACCACTTCGAGTCTCTTGCTGTTGTCCATGCCAGTACTGGGGCCGCAGAAGCAGCTGTGTTGAGGATTGGATGCCTGGGCTCTGGACTTTGCTTCTCACATCCGGGTTTGAATCCGCATAGTAGTTCGCGATGACTTTCTATCGCGCCGGGTTAGCGATAAATTACTGTTCGACAGCGATACAGTTTCTGGAGGCTGCAGAAAGCATTACCTCAACCCACTGTGCATTATTTGTTAGCGAAGTTTCTACCTGCGGCTGGTGGATAACATTGAACGTACCGCCATATTGTTTGAAGGGACATGGAGATATCGGATCCTGCGGGGCTTCGCAAAGCCTTCGTTTCTGTCCCGCCGTAGAATATTCCAGTCGTCCTTCGGGTCGCATTGCCCCCCCATCAGGTCTCTCCCATTGTTTAGCAACCGACTCATGGAGATGCGCTGGTCTGGGAACGTGCCCTTGACCCCAATGTCGGCGAGTTCGTCGTTGGCTGGTTTCAAGAACTGTCTGACGGCAGAAGATGATTCGGCACCGGGTGTTGTTTGGATATTCGCCTCTTGAACGGTAAACTCAATAAAATGGGCGTGGACGTCTCGCTCAATGCTGTACTCAATGCCACTGAGATCTGCGTTTTGTTCCTTGTTAATTCCATGCTGCCTGATGAAGAGTTGAACCTCTTGACGTCCAGTTTGGATCCTGTCGGAGAGAGTAAATTCTCCAGCGTTTACCAGATCAACTGGCCTGTGTCCCCCTTGAGCTCCTTTCCTCCAATCCCGAACCATTGGAATACCATCTTTGAACTTCTGAGAGTTCATCCATTTATTACGGCTTTTTTCCATGTTGTAGACGAGCCTTGGCTGTCCACCCGAAGAACGAGGTTTCATTATAGCACTGCGCATCACTTCCGTTCGTCTGTACCGGGCCTCAATCGCAATTGCCACGCTGAGCATCCTTTTTGTCATTGTCTCATTGAGCATTGCGTTCATGTCGTCCGTCAAAAGAGGTCTGGAAGCATTATCCATTGCCATCCTGAGCTTCTTACGCTCCATCTCACGTTCATTAACCCAGACATTATTCGATTCCTTAAAGAAATCGGGCCGCTGGCAGATCTCAATGCAACCGAAATAATGCTGTACCGGGTCTTTGACGGCTTGTTCGTGCGGTTCGGCTGAGATGCAGGTGGTCGGCTCGTTATATGTGTCGAAAAGCTGCGGGCCTCTCTGAGGTTTCGATATGGATGAAAGGTCGGTAGGATATCGTGACTGTTCGGGTCTGGTGAAGAGAAGAGTCGTCGTCATTTTCCGGACGTCTCTCGGCAGCAATAGACTCAGTGGATCAGGTCGGTGTATGGCAATTCATCGGCTGTTGGAAGAACAATTACCTTTGAACAGTCGATATGAACAGCTCAGATATGAAGAGGGAGGTGAAGGAGGATACCTTATGCGACTTTGTATCGAGCTCTAGCGTAGCCTCAGCCTCAATGGACTGACCAGCTGAGTGGTGGGGAACTTAACTGATGCCATCTTGACCTCTTAGGTAGCGGATCGACGGCAGTCATATCCGATAGTGGTCACGTCAATCCTATTTGAGAACTGGACATGCAGGCAGCTGTACAGATAAGCATATATGCAGTCAGACTGGCATACAGGCGGCTGAAATGCAGCTCGGTGGTTCGGGAAGGTGATGCACTGCACTGCACTGCACTGCGACCCGACCTAAATGGGAGGCGCTGAAAATGGGGTGACGAATACAATAACGGATCGAGTATGATGAAGATGGAGAGGAAACAAGAGAGAGAACGATAGTGTTGGGGGAGGTTGGTAGAAAGCACGGCATCTTGTAGCCTGCAGACAGATGGAGGAGAGAATCTCAACTGGTCGAGATGTCAAGTCAACCAAGCGGGCTCTCCCAATACATCTCTTCTCTTCCTACAGGTATGATCGCTCCTTCCGGACAGCTACCCACACCATTTACCCAATCCGAGATTGAGTTTACGAGCGCAACTGCCTGATAGGAAGCTTTCAATCTCCTGATGTCGCACAAGGCTGCCGGCCCCCAACCGAGATCCCCGTCTTGGAACTTGCCCCGCTTCTGCCATCTTCCTTTTGTTAAGAACGGCAGGAAGGGAGATTGGGCAAGAAGTGACTTGCAACAAGATTATCAATGAGAACCGGTATTAGAACTGAACTTGGGGAGGAGAATGAAGGGAATCCCTCATTAACTGTTACTGCGGGCTGGGTTTGCAATCTTTTTCTCACTGCCAATCAACAAAAAGACCCAAAATTGTGCTTGTTCACACAATGTCTCCGTCATCCACTCTTCTACCGCCCATCAGCGGCGGTTCTGGTGTTCTAGCACCTCGTGATATTGGTGTATTACCACCGGCCATCGTGTACACTTGTGTTGAACCGTTGGATACTGTTGATGGGGGCCTCGTACCACTCTGTTCGCTGCTTTCGTTGGTCTCGCGATCTTCAGGATTGCCATCCCGGGTCGACATTGATATGGAGGAAGGTTTACTCTTCAGATTCGGAGTGTTTCCCGCCCCAAAGAACCTGCTAAACCAGCCCCATTTTGACGTTACCGATGCTGTGTTGGCAACGCCAGAAGCTTGTTCGTCTGGGTTGTTCTGCTTATTGAGCAGTTCAGCCCTCCGAGCCGCTCTCTTTCGCTTGGCTTTTCGCACCTCTTCCTTCATGTGCCGGACTTTGAGTTCGGTCTTGCGCATGAGGGATTGTGACCCGTACTCGTCGTGGAATGCTATCCAGAACCTGTACAGCTGGGAATAGACTACAACCACTGTGAAGATGTATTTCGTGAGGGACACGACCGTTGCACGAAGCAAGGGACTGAATGCGACCACGATCGTCGCGATGATGATACCGATGGATATGGAGACTGTGTTTTGGTGTTCAAATTAGAACATGTCCATGAGCCGGATACAACCAGTAGCAGCCAACATCACTTACACATGAGCTTGAACTGCTCTCCTAAGTGCATGGGTCCGCTATCAGTGAATTCCCAGTTGTTCATGCCGAAGATACTCGACATGAATGACAACGGCAGCTGGATACCAAACAGGTTAATCATTCGCTTTCTCCTGGTCGTGGATGCTAGATCAACTCACAAACACAATAGTGACAATCGTGAACATCATGACAGCACGTCCCTGAGTGACGGCCTCCTCGGCTTGCCTGACGGACTCCCAGGCCTGCACTACACTTGCCTGTTGTTGTTTCAGTGCAAGAAGATCGTTGACCTGCGCATGCTCGTGTCAGTATGCCTTCCTGAGTCCTGTGGCAAGGAATGCGGCGTGGCTCACACTGTCGGCTGTACTCTTGGCGCCTGCCCTCAGTCCCTCAAGCTCGTCAATGCGGTCATTCACTTCTGAGAGTAGCTCCTGGTATTGCGCCCGGAACCATCCAAGTTGTTCTCTCCTTCTGGTCTCTTCCTCATCGGTTTCAAGTTGCTCATCGCTCTTGCTATTCCTGCCACTTCTCATACTTGCGTTACCAGACAATTTGCGCGAGGGGTCCGAAGTGTCTTCTTCAACAAAGCCGTCGCCGCTCAATCGGTTCTTGGGATCCAAAATATGCTCAACATGTCTGCGGTATCGCTTCATAATGTCTCTTTGTCTCTTGTGGACGTGCAGCATAATGTCAAGCTCGTCAAGGATGTCCTTAACCTCGCGCTGAAGTTTCTGTCGTAACAGTTAGCATGTGGGATACAGGAGCATAGTGCGACGACGAGGAGACTACTTACACCTTCAGGATTGATGTCGAGTAAGGACACGTGTAGATCAGAGGAGTTGACGTATTTCGACCTGGCGCGATATATCTTGGAGGCTTCTTGCGTCCAGTGCCAGACATGCTGGAATGATATTGTGTGTAAATTTGTCTAGATTCAACCAATTAGCGCAGGGTATACTAGCGTAAAAAAGCACAGTGATACGTACCACTCGCCCAATAGCTTCAGAGAAGATGTCCATTACTTGGGGTTGGCCCTCCTAACGAAAGTTGTTGTCAGCTTGCGTCTATAAGCATCACTTTTGGATAGTGCAATGTAGCTTACATCAGCCCTGGTCCGATCGAAGAAGGTGTTGGAGCATTCGTCTAGTATAATAAGCGCCAGATCGTAAACCGATCTCACTTGGTTTTTGCGGAACGACTTTAAACGTGCCCGTATAGATCGGTGTACTCCCGACAAGTCATGCTTGTTGCTTCCATAGCGCCGCGGAAATGAGGTAATGATTGTGTGCTCGTCAAGAACCCACATCCATAATTGATCAACCATGATGAGCTGCGAAACTTTCTTGATGTCGCTCTTGCACTGGTCACAGCCGTGCTCATCAGTTGTTTCAGAATGATGAGTCCACTTCATAGGCGGCGAAACATCACCCTCGACACGCTGAGCTGAATCTTGATCTTCAAGCTCGTGAACCAGCTCTCTCCCCGTCGCGACTGCGGCACTGGTTATTGTTGGATTCATGGTTTGTTGAGGAGGACTGGGGCGCTTAATCCAGGAGTGTTTAGGCTTCTCTGCCTCCTGGAGTTGATGGATAAAGTCAAGCTTCGTATCTCGGTAGATAACCTGATCCCTATCTCGAGCTTTGGTGGTTCTTAGTGTCCAGTAGTAAGACTGATCCAATGTGCGACGCGGGTGGAGAGGAGGGTCGTGAAAAAGATACTTCTCCAGCATCCTCTGGTCCCTGAACGTTGACATCGCCTCATAAAGACGAGCAGCATCCACAAGATACTGACCAAGCGCGCTGGTAACTCTCAAACGACCAGAATCATCGATGTAACTCCTCTCACTGCGTTGGACATCCCGGCGACGCCTGAAGAATTGGTGAAGTGCCAGGTCAACGGTTTGAAGTAGCTTATTTTGGTTGTTGGGATCTTCAGCACCCTCTTTAGGATGTTTAATGCTCCTTCTCTGAATGTCGGGCTTTGAGAGATTGGTGAGCTTCACTCTCTCTTCCTGTCGAGTTTTCTTCTTGTCTTGCTTTTCTTTCCTTTGTTTCTGCCGAAACTTGTCGGATTCAATATCGATCAGCCTGGAAATAGTCTCCCTCCTACGGTCCGTTTCCCAGTGGAGATATGGCATCTACAATTGAGAAGACTATCAGCGCCATCTTTGTTGGGAAATGTGAGAATCATCAGTGTCATTGACATACAAAGAGAACAATGTTCTTTGGATGCTTCTCGATCTCGTTGGTCTCGGTTGACACTACCTCGCAGAGAGAACGCATGTGTCTTGCGTGCACTACACCGCTTCGAGTCCCTTGTTGCTGACCTCGCCAATATTGAGGGCTCAAGAGCATGTGCGTTGGGGTCTGTACTCTCTGATGCCTGAGTTTGCGATTGAGATCTGGTGTTTTGGTTTCGTAGTAGTTGGCAATCGCTTTCTGTGATCGTACGATCAGTGAGCCTGAAAATATGTTTTGAGCGGTTGTCAAGAGCTTACCTCCACCCACTAAAGTACAACGAGTTATGTCAGTCAGTAGTCAGCAACGAAGATAAGTAATAGTCAAAAAAAAATCACATACTGCCATATTATTTGATGGAATGTGGAAGTATCGGATCCTTTTTGGCGGCCCTGAACCACCTTCATTCATGCATCGGTTTCTTGACAAAATGTTCCAATCGCCTTCCGGATCATGGGTGCTCAATTCAGGGTTATCGGTGGTTTTCGGTTCACAAGTAACTCCATTATCGAGGAGGAAGCTCATGGATATGCGCTGGTCTGGGAAAGTGCCCTTGAAGCGCCCATCAGTTAACGGTTCGTCAATCGGTGTCAGGAAAGATTCGGAATCTTGACTCGGCCTGTCTGTGTCGTATTCGGTGCTGAACTGAATAAGGTAAGCATTGACATCTCGCTCAAGGTGATATTCGGTACAGTCCTTCTCGTTGTCTTCTCCAATTCTGTTGCTGGAATTCTGATTGGATTGACCGCCGTTCTCTGATTGTGTGTTTTTCTTTGTGCGTTGCTTTTTCGCAAGATCTTTGACTTCTTGTCGTCCAGGCTCGTCGGATCCCTTATTGTCATCATCTTCACTTCCATCCTTCATCTCTTTTCTCCATTGACGCACCCATTTGATCCCTTCTTTGAAACGATCTGACCTCTTCCACTTGTCACGACTGTCCCCTAGTTGGCTTACAACACTATCCTCCTTCTCGACCTTTGGCTGCTGGTCTGAAAAGAGCCTGGACTGGCGGGCTGGAGTCTTGCTGAGCACGGTTCGCAAGATTTCTATCCGCTTGTATTGAGCCTCGATGGCAATAGCCACACTTCCCATTCTCTTTTCAAGCCACTCGTTGGCTCTTGCTTGGGAGACAGACTCAATCGTGAGGGGTTCGCCATCAGGAACAGCATGACCCGCTTTTTTGAGCTGCTCTTGGGCGGTCTTCAAGTGGTTCTCCCATTTGTCGTTGTCGGTGGTAACAGGGAATTTCTCCATGGTCTTTGCTAGTTCCAAGTAGAATTTGCCATATTGAACCTTTCGTTCGTGCTCCCAATGCGGGTGACTGGGCTTCAGGAATTCGGCTCGATCGCGTATTTCGATGCATCCAAAGTAGTGTTGGACAGCATCTTCGACGGTGGTGTCATGAGGTTCTGTGGAAAGACAACTGGTAGGTTCATCTTCTGGATCGTGGTGCGTGAGGTTTCGAGGACTGCAGGCATCCACAAAGGCTCGAGCAATTTGTCGCATGACGAAGGAATGGTGCGTTCATCCGTAGAGGCAGGTTGGATTGCTGTAGAGATGCTCCACAATAGCACGACAGTAGCAAAGACAACGACAATGACAGGTAGAGAACCGAGTACGGCTGGGTGCCTGAGGGGGAGGTGTCCAGATGGAGTTCTTGGTAAAGCGTCTAGAGAATAGATATGTTCTGACAGATAGGTGCTTCTGCCTTAACTTACAATGTCTAGATGTGATAGCAATGTGCTCGACATAATCGTGATCAAATTGCCCCCGGCGACATTGAAAGTTCGTTGAAGAGAAGGCGACGAATAACAAGACGAGAAATGCCAGGTAGTAATGCATGGAACCGGAAAGGCAACCTTCAAAGCTGGAGCGAGGCCATATTCGAAAAGCTGAAGAGGGGGATGCAGAAGTACTGTGTGGTGACCACTTGAGGCCCAGTCGATGTTGCACGACATCAAGCCCCCTAATGTTCCATGGGCTGGCCCGGAGGAAACCCCATCATGACCCTTGATATTCCCTCGAGATACCGAGGAAAGAGGAGGAAGGAGATTTGTCGATCAGTGCAGAGAGAGAAGAGACTCTGTGCAACAGATAAAAGGGACCTTGTGCATTAGTGTGAAACACTGTGAGCCCTGCGATTACATCCAAAATGTGATGGTTTCCCGTGCTGACATGAACTATGAAATGAGATGGATGTGGTACGGGGCGGGTAGGGTGAACTGGTGCGAGGGCAAAAGAGGTCGAGATAGGTCGCGGTCGACCGAGCACGCCCAGGCATTGGGTGATCATTGGAAGCCGGCGAGAGGGGAAAAGTGAGGGGACGAAGGGTTGACTGGCGAGACGGGATGGAATGACGGATATGCGTGGTGTTGAGACACCATAAGGTCGTCCAAAAAAAACACAGCCGCCCAACAGAAACTAGCAATTCGCGAGCTGGGGTCGATGTGGGACAGCTGGATGTTGCCTGACAGCGGAGGCGGTGTTACGGCTGTTACCTGGCAAGCGGCGCAAGCTTGTGACATCCTCTAGTAAGGGAACTGAAGTATCTTGTGCATGTGCTGAAGGGGGGGGGGGGTTGGGGTTCGAAAAGGGAAACATGTCCGAGGCATAGAAGGATCCAATTGCAGTTTCCAGGTGGTGAGTGAAGCCGTGAACACCGGCGGTGGTGATGGTGTCGATGAGGCTCGGAGCCTGATCGCTTCATGAAAGATGCAACGACCGGAAGTTGTGATGGAAGGAACAAGCCGGAATATCCACTGTAATGTCAGCAAGCGGCAGAGAACGGGAAGCTGTGGGCCTTATCGAGCCTATCAATCTGGTGCCGGTGGCAAATGGCGGGTACTGAAGAGGAAAGAAGGTGCTAACTGCAGTGCCAACGAATCTCGACCGAACTCGTGTCCGATATTTCAACTCAAGTGATGAATCATGAACCTCAAGAAGGAAGGAGCGCCCGAAGCTGAAAACTCTGCGCATTCAGCACCCAATTGATGATGCATCGATCTTCTCTCATGTCGACCTGAGCGGGAGGGAAGGAGAGAATCTTCAATTGGAAGCCCGACATCCTCCAACAGAGAAATCCAATCCATCAACCCCACGACACTCAGTTACCCCGCTCCAACAGCACGGCTTCAAAATTGACCTCCGTCGTCGCTCCGCACTCCTCAGATGGCATAAGTTCTCGCTTAGAAATATATACACCTTCTCGGACAAATAGGCGTCGTGTACGAGCCACAGAAGGGTAGCTGCTCATGTTGTACGACGCGAACGAACAGCCTTACTTCAGGATTTGATGACCTTCTGGGTCTGGATTCTGCTGCTTGGGTGAGCTCCATTCGCCCTCTCCCTCTATTTACCCTGCTCGATATCCAAAACAGAGACGCTGAGTGACCGAACATGGTTCAGGTTTTCGGTGGGCTCGAGCTCTTTGCGTCGGCCCACTGACAGTCGGGGAAGTGGAAGTTGGCTTTGCTTTCTTGTCTATCATCCATTTGAAGTCTACGTCCCTGATCCTCCAGTAGGGCCTTCTGGGATACCTGATCGCAAACATTGTCGCCAGCCTGACTGTCGAGGGTGGCAGGGTGGATGCGACCCAAGATATAAGTGGGGTTTCGCTTCAAGGCTCGTGGCGATCCGGGGGAAGGCTACAGTACCCGCCCAGCCAACGGCCCTCTAGGCGCGAGTGAACCAAGGTATATACTCAGGCTTGTTCACTGCTCGGGATTGATGTCTGGCATCCAATTACTAATGTCTGTGTGAACAGAATACTAAAAGTTTATCTTTGACAAAGAAAGAGAAAAGATAAAGTCTCAACACCGCAGAGGCCAGTTCTCCTCGTCTCTTTCCACTCCAATCCAAATCTCGTTCTTCACCATGATCGCCCCCGCTGTCTTGGCTGCATTACACTCTGTCGAGACGATTGTAGTCGAAGTAAGTGACTTCAAAGCTGTTATATGGGTGGTGGATGAACTGTCGTGTGCCGACATAGTAATTCTACTCCCTTGGCTATGAGCCGTCGTCCCTCGACTTCGGCTTCGCTCTGCGTTATATAACCCTAGTATGTCGTCTACGCTGTCGTTCCCCCTCCTCCTCCTGTTCTTTCTTTGCATGCTGGCTGGGCTTAGTGGCGTTTGGAATGTGTCGATATCCCGTAGGGACTCCATGTCGACAATAGTGTGTGATGAGGCCGAGTCGCGGACGTATGCTGGCGGTGGGGGGCTCGGACTGCGTTCAACTTTGCTGCCTGCTCCAGCTGTGGGTGCTTTGTGGTCTCCTGATGACTTTTGTTGTTGTTCTTGTTTGTGTTGCTCAACTATCGTGAATTCCGGCATTTCCAGGTTGTTTTGGTTGGGTGGATGGTATTCATGGTCTTCTGTCATTCCACGGCGTCGGAGATATAACGGACGCAGGGTCGGTATGCCCAGGCATACCATGGCTACTGCTATCTCGGCACCGGCCCAGATAAAGTACGGGGCAAAGTTGTCTACAGTTGGTCAGCACATGCAGACAATCCTTCAGGGATCGTGGTCAGCTTACAAGTGTAATCCCAGATGTTGAGATGTGACAACACAACGGTTCTAGTGATGCCGCAAGCACCAGCTCTGTAACATGTCAGTTTGATCCCTTACCACACAGGACTAACAACGAGTATCTCGAGTACTCACATTACACCGAGGCTCATTCCACTCGCCAACATCATCTTCTCCCGTCGTGGCATCCTCAAAGACCAGATGAAGAGCCACGGGAAAATGGCAAAGATGAAATCACAGACACTGGACCACACTCCCAACCCAACACTCATCGGCTGAATCTTGATGTGCCATTTCCCGGGAGTTCTCAACGGATCCCAGCTAGCTTTTCTCGGTGTCGTCTGATTCCATAGCATGACCACCAACGCAAACGACGTCCCTGCCGTCACCACAATCAGCGCCCACAGTGCCATTTTCTGTCCCCTCAACTGAACCACTCTCAATAAGAAGAATCCCATGGACAACTTGGCCATGGCGTTGCCGGTTATCGCAAAGGAATTGGCGACATAGCTCCAAAAGATGGATCTCGACGTGTTCTCGAGCGACAGCGACCACAGACTGGCGCCCATGCCAAAGTGGACCGAGACATGAAGGAAGGTGGCGAAGAGAAGAAGAAAGAGGCCGGTCAGGACGTAGACGTAGTCTTCGGTACCGATGAACTTGACGATGTGGATGCGGGTATAAAGGCGTAGGAACATGAAGGAGAGTGAGAGAAGGGTCATGGACCAAACGGCGACGACTACTTCTTGTTGGCGATGTTCCATGATGCCAACTGGTCGTTTATCGAATCATTGTCGAAGTCGTTTGTTTGCCGTCACTGCATGCAAGTGATTGCCGTTTAACCTCGTTCGAGATTTGGTGGGTATGGGAAGAAGAAGAAAGAAAGAAAGAAAAAAAGACCTGATGGAGTGACTAGTCTAGCAGCGAACGATCACTGCGTGCCGAACTGAGACAAGAAACGTGGTGGGCATGTCTCAAGTTTTGGTTGACGGCCGAAGAAGAAAAGTTGGAAGTCCAGACTCTCGGAGCAACCTATCACGACATTTCTCCTCGGCAAGCAAGATTGTCTGCCCTGTTCTCATGATTTGCTCATCACTTCATCTTATCGAACTTGCTGGCCTGTCAGGCCTGTTGGATTCCCCAACTGTCCCCATCGAACGGGTATGCCTACCACGTGAGTGGCAACACCGTAGTAGCTGGATGACTGGTTCGATAGGTAACTTTGTGGGGGGTGACGATGGATATTTGGGATATCATAATCTCCAATCACCACTTCAAGTCCATCGGAATGGCCAAAAAGCCCAAGCCTCCCTTCTTCTCACTGGAACACATTGGAATAAACGTCGACCATTCATCTGTGTTACCTCGTCCAAGCTCCCCTGCCGTACGTGAAGATGGTGGGCTGCTGTGGGCTACTAGCACTTATACCTCCCTGTCCGAGGGCGCGGATTGGCTGGAATTGCGACAAGGACTGACCAACGGGAGAGAGCAGGGTTAACCGCTGAAGAGACAGGGGTCACGAACTGGGGATTAGCTTGGGCGTAATATAGGGCTTTTAAGCGCCTGCACTGGGAGGGAGGTATTGGAGATGTTGATGTCATTGATAATGCTCTGGAGGGTGTTTCAGCGCGCCATTGCCGTGATGAGACAGAACTGGTAGATTGCCTTGGTGTGCAGCCTGCCTCGGTACCGACCTAGGCGCTACCAAGAGCTTCTGATGATGTATGTCGTTGAACCCTAACCCTCCACTACATTAGTCAGATGCAGCAGAGTCTGTACTCCACAACTCCAGGTCCTTCCCAACCCCGGCCCCTGTCAAAATCGATCTCGATCTCGATGACAAGGAACCACCACACAATTGGCGCCAAAAACTTCCACACACACACACACATCTAATTTTTTCTTCCCACACCCATAAGCATAGAGCTACAAGGTACATAAATGACTCAACCAGCACTTTCTTCCAACAATCCAAATAGGAATGATTGATAGCCGCTTGCCCGGCTAGCTCAATCGGTAGAGCGTGAGACTCTTAAGGAGGTACTCCGTAATCTCAAGGTTGTGGGTTCGACCCCCACGTCGGGCTCAATTCCCGTCGTTCCTTACTTTTTTTCTGCAATTTTTTCCTTTTTCTTTTCAGATTTTTGCATTTTCCGGTGACCTTCCTGGCCTTCGTTGTCGAGGGGCACTCGTCGTCGTCTTCATCGTTTCTCCTACTCCTCTTTTTGTAGTTTTACACCCCTTTATCATCGTTTTCCTCGTCCTCCTCCTCCTCTGTCTTGGCTGCTGCCTTTATTCCTTTTTGGCCTTTCTGCTTTCCTGTTCTCCTCAGCTCTTCAGACGCAGACGCAGATTTAATCGAGCTCGGGCGGCGTTGCATTTTCTTGCTTCTTCTTGTTTTAAGGTCGATCGTCGCCGATTTGTCCCAAGATTCCTTGTCGTGTCCATGTCTGCGAAGGTTTGTGATCGTCTCGTGTAAGGTGTCCCGCGTATATCCAACGGATGAGGAAATCATGAAAACGGTTTCGGATCCATTGTGAGTTACATATATAGTGGGCTTTCTCGAGTTTTTCTGGTGAACAGAACAATTTTCGTCTTTGGGGTTTGTCGAATTTGGTTGCTGTGCACATTATCGCCTTGTGTTATAAACAATCTTGCATTTAAGCGATCATGTACCACAGCGTCTTGAAGCCATTAACCATCCACATGGTACCAGTGAACGCATTTATCCGGAGTCATTAACATCATACCCAAGCCCAATCCTCCACGCCCGCCGCGTTGTCGCTTATTTACCGCCCACCCCTGACCCCATTCCCCCTCTTGCCCTCCTCCTCATCCTCACTACTACTCAAATCATCCTCACTCATGCTCAACCTAAAATATTCCCCATCCGCTCCCGCACCTCCATTCCTCGCCATCAGCGCATGACTCTCAACCTCCCCATCTTCCATCGTCCCCTTTCCATTCTGCCCGCCATTCTCACCCGCCATCGCCTTCCTCTGTGCCGCCCTCCAAACCCACCAAGCCACCACAACCGCCTCCATACCCATGAAAATCCCGACCCCCCACACATCAACCCTACTATGCCCGCTCAACAACAATCCCAAAACAACATTAACCCACCCGGCCACCACTGCCCACCGCCCAAGCCAGATATGTCCATGGGAGATCCACGTCCTCCTGCGGATCCTCAGGAAATCCATGTGATGTCTCCACCCCAGAATCGCCTGGACTACCAGCAGGAAAGTAACAGCGAGACCAAGCCACTGGTGAACGGTAGATGGGATGTGGCGACCGGTCATGTACAAGCCTACGCCAGCGCCGGCGAGGGTGAAGATGGACGCGAGGGCTTGCACAAGCCAATGTTTCTGGAAGGCGTTGCCGGAGGAGCGGATCAAGATGACACCGAGGGGGAAGAGGATGAGGAAGGCAACGGTCATGAAGAAGGCGTGCGTTTTGGGGAGAGGGTTGGCGGTTACTTTATCTAGCCAGCCCGAGGCGGAGAGGGGTTTAGTGGAGGTACCGAGGAGGTTGTTGGTGTTGGGGACGATGGCTAGAGTCTTGAGCAGGTCGTCGACGGTCGGCTTTCCTAGGTAGTTGCTGCTGCCGCTGCCGAGGACGGAGCGCGTCATGTCGGCCCAGAAAAAGCCGTATCCGCCTGTTTCGGAGCCGTGATGGCGGTGCATCTTCAGATGCGCATCGCGGGGGAAGGTTCCGCTGAAATCTTGGCGGTCGTTCCAGGCCCAGAGGAAAGGCTGAGATGCAGAAGTGGCGGAGATGGAAGTCCGCCAGGACCCCGAACCGGATGACCACAGGGAGCAGGAGTAGCAGGCGAGCAAGACGTCGGCGATATACGTCTTGGTGCCGGCTGCGGGGATGATGGGGTGTTCGTCGTGTTCGTCGTGTCTTTTGGCTTTCACTTTGACTTTACCCTCCTCCTTGCTAGCAGCGGGCACGGTACCGGCTTCTTTCCAACTCGATGCCAGAACCTGGACGTCAAACCCTTTCCCAGCTACTGTCCCAAAATCGTCGATCAACTGCGGTTGACGATGTCCTTCCACTGTCCGCACGCTCACTACGGGCTCCTTTTCGGTACCATTTACAGGGTCGCCGTAGACGATAAACATCAAGGCTCCTGCCATGGTCTGCCCTGTGCCAATGGCCGTCCATCCATTTGCGTTCCAGCGAGTGATGGTAAGGTGGAAGTAGATGTCGTGAGAGGAAGTGGTGGTGTTGGGGAGGGAGAAGGAGGAGAGGCAGAAGTCGGCTGCTCCTGAAGTAAGACCGGTTTGGCAGTATTGGACTTTGTTGTTGTTGTCGGTGGTTGTGGTAGTGGCAGTGGTAGTTGAAGCGCCGAGCAGGGGTTGTGTGAAGAGGGAGACGGAGAGGAGCAGCGCTCCGAGGAGGGAGGTGAGGTGCGCCATTAGGTTGTAGAAAGACCTCGCTGGAGTTGCTGGGCGATGCAACAACTCACTCAAGACGAAGAATGAGAGGATGATGTGGGAAGAGGGAGAAGAAGAAAAGTTTCATGGGATGGATGAATAAACGGGCCACTCGGGACTCGGCGTGCGCTAGTGTAGTGGCAGATCTGCTGCCCGATGGCTGGGACGGCGGGGGGGTGATGAGTGGGGCGCTGACGGGCCGCGTTGGTGGGTTTTCTTGCTGAGTGACCGATGACCGATGCGGGCAGTTTTTGGTGTTCGTTCCTCTTTTTCTTTTTCAACTTAAAAAAAGTTCAATGTCCCGTCCCTTCGTTTTCTTCCTCATCGTTGTCGGTTCATAATGGATGCTATCCCAAATCACCGAGTCGAGAAGAAATCAACCTACCATGGGCCAACTACACTACTTTGGCGCAACCACAGACATGTGACATGTTTGGCGCGCACCTTGCGGCTTTTTGGCGCGAAAAAAGGTCACCTAGCTTGCCTAGAGGTATGTAGTCAGGCGCAAATCCTCACCTCAGCTTCTTTGGAACCGAGGGCGCTGTCGTGCACCGCTGCCTGACCACCACTGCGACCGATCGCCAATCGCCGAGACTTCCGGTATTTACCACGGCCGCTGAGTGGCTGAATTGCATGCATGGACTTCTTATTCTCCAATTGTTCGGCAATGCGTCTATGACGTTTTCCCCACGATTATCGATACCAACTGCAGTGGTGCTCGGAATAGTGGCATAACATTCATTTCCCTTTTGTTTTTGTACACAGGCCAATCCATACCAGGCCGACGGTAGCGGGTCCGGCCGCTATTGCCACTGATGTGCGCAGGGATCCCAGGGCCCGGGAGTCAGGAACGTCAGACACGCCAGGCACGCCAGGCACACCGCGGGCCACGGAAAAAGGGACGAACAGGGGACGACATCTCGCAAAGAGGTGAAGGGGAGATGGGACGAACGAGTGGGATCTTTAAACTGACTTCATTTTGAGCGAGGACTCATAGACCACGAACAACGGCCTCTCCTATAACCAGCACTAACACAAACAACTATCCTATCAAAATGCCGGCCCTAGCAATCAATATACCCAAAGGTGATGATGTAAAACAAGAGGGACCTCAAAAGCCCCTAACACACCTCCAAACCCCCTTTTTGCGCCGTTCACGATACTTGACAAATGCTTACCACAGAGCCGTTAACCTTTCTCCCGGCCTTCCTTGCGCCACCAAAAAGAGCCATCCATCAAAGCAGAACCAGCCAACCAACCAACCAAACGACCATGACCATGTCCAGTACAAACCTCACTCCATCTCGACACCTCCCTCCCTCCCTCCCCCTTTCATACATACTAAACCCCAAAGAAGGACGCTCCGTCATTTGCTGCATACCTAACCTAATCAAAAGCACCCGCCTCAACCTCAAACTGATAAGCCCCGACGTCCATATGGTCCGGCGTCACCTGCCCCACCCCATTCCCAACCACACTCCCCGGATGCGGGCCCACGGACCCAATCTGCTGCTGCTGCTGTGCCGCTGCTGCTGGATGCGGCGCCATCCCAAACTGCGCCGGATGATGGGCCGCCACAAACTGGCCAGGCGCTCCCCACGCCGCATGCGTCCCCGTCGCCGCTGGGTGGTGCGGTGGCGGCGGGAACATGGCGTAGCTGGTGTAAAAGTAGTTGGCGGCCGGACCCGCAGAAGCCACGGAGGGGTCTTCGGCTGTCATGGTGTACCCGTTCACGGCGGACATGGCCGCCGCCGCGTGGGGGGACACGGCCATGGGGCCGTTGCCGGTGAGGGGGGAGTGGGACATGAATTGCGGTTGGTGAGTGGTGGCCGGGGAGGGGTGGCCGTAGTGGCTGTGCGAGTGCGAGTGTGAGTGCGAGTGGAACGGGGACGTGGGGATACCGTGCTGCGCGTACGGGTTGATTTGCTGTTGTTGTTGTTGGGGGTTGTTGTTTCGGGTACCGGTCCCGAGGGAGGTGGGGGCGGTGCCTGTGGTGGTGTTGCTCATCTGGTGCGAAGCGGCCGTGGCGGGCGCCGAGAGGTGCGTGGAGGAGCCGCCTACGATCGAGAGACGGTTGCGTCCGCCGGGCCCGTTGGAGAGCTCCGAGGACGAGGTTTCCGTCGAGAGGTGCCCGTGTAATGAAACATACGCTTTGAAGGTCTGTTGGACGACAGATTTGAGGCGCTCGCGGACAATGTCGGTTCCCGACGCAAAGTCAATGTCTTGAAGCTTGATTTTGTGGTCGAGGATGTCGAGAAAGAGTTTGGAGAAGGCGTCACCGTCTTTGGAGGGGGAGAAGGGGGTGATGCGCGGTTTGATGTCGTGCCCTGGCTGATGTCAGTGATCTCGATTTCGTGAGAAAAAAGTGAGGGAAAAGAAAGGCATACTCACAGGGCGTTTCGGGACGTTTGGCACCGGGAAAGAGCACGTCCCAGATCTCGAACCACTTCTCCAGCTTATGCGCCTCCTGGTTCTTCTTGCGGTTTTGCCGCTCGAGAGCCGCCCATTGGACTGCGTCGATGCCCTCCTTCTTAGACGCGTCCCCCAGTTCGCACGCGTCACTTTCTTTTTGGTGTTCTGATAAGTTGGCCAGGCAAGTTGCTCGATCTGTTCCCGGGAAGATCTTGTAGCAGCGGTTACATTGGACGGGTGAATGGACCCGTTTCAGATGTTCCCTATATCACCGGCGGGTTAACTCAGAACACACACACACACATACACAGCGCTTGATGATAAGGGATAAGGTAAGTCTTCGGGACGGGAACTCACTTTAACCGCTGGATACTCTTAAACCCCGGCCCCGTACACGCCCTGTACTTGTGTTTCTTTCCGTTTGCCGAGTTAGTTTGCTGAATCCCGTATTTTTCCGGATCCCGCTTGTGGAACGGACACGCCAGCATCGGTTGCGACTCCTCGTTGCCAGCCACGCCAGGGCCAGATCCCGTGTCGATGTTCTTTTCCTCTTCTTCATCGCCATCATCACCATCACCACCACCACCACCACCACCACCTCCACCTCCACCTCCGCCTCCGCCTCCTCCCCACTCACCACTTCCTCGTCCACCTCCTGCACCACCACCGCCACCACCAAACCCTCTTCCTTCCCTACCTCCCCCGTCCGAGTTAGACCGCCGCCTTCTCTTCCGCGAGTTACCATTCCCGTTAGCCCCAGATCCGCCCCCAGGTGGTGAAGAATCCGTATAAGAAGATTTCCCACCCCTCGACGCATCCGAATTGCCCCTCTCTCTCAGATTATTCCCTCCACCACCATGAGCAGCACCGCTAGTAGTACCCGAGCCCGTATTGTTTCCAAACTGCCAACTCTCCACCTTATTCTTCACCGCCAGGTTATAATCCCGATGCAGGATCGGAATCAGATACGCAGCCAGCGGCAAATCCCCATTGACGGCTTCAATCACCGCCGACTCCAGATTACCGTTTTGTCCTGACCAGTCGTTGTCGTCTTCCTCTTCTTCGTCATCTTCTTCCTCTTCCTCTTCCTCGGAGAAGTTATCATCAAGGTAATCGCCCATAATGTCCATGTCGTCTTCGTCGTCTTCTGACTCGCCACTGTCGGCGTCATCGTCGTCGTCATCATCGGACATCATGTCTTTTGCCTCTGCTGAGCGGGCATGAGGCCCATGCCCGTGGCCGTGACCGCCGCCGCTGCCGCTACCGGGAGCCGAAGAGTCGACGGCGAACAGGGCGTTCCGTAAGCTACTGGGGCGTGAAGGCGAGCGGGTTCCTGACGTGCTGTTGCTGCTACTGTTGCTGCTGCTGCTTCCGCCGCCGCCGGGGCCACCGCCACCGCCGTTGATGCCGTTAGGTGCATTATACCGGCCCTTTTTGGCGGGACGACGGCCGCCGGTGACGGTGAAGCGGCTGACGGGGGTGGTGTTGGTGATGGGGGATCTTGATGATAAGGTTCTGTACGTAGTAGTAATCTCATTAACACATGCACAAACTTTATATCTACTAGACCTAGACTTGCTGTGCCATGATCCTTTTTTTAGAAAGAAAAAACAAAGGAACTTGACTTACTCATCATTCCACTTATTCCCCATGCCCATGCCCACTCTCTCACTCTCACTCGGCTCCAAATCGCCCTCGGGGAAATTGCACTCGGTAGCCGTACTAGGCGGATTCGAAGTCACCCAGCTGCTGATGGACGCAGCGTAGCAATTGGAACCCAGGTCCGAATGCGTGCCCGGTGAAGGCGAGCGGGAGCTGGCGGATGTGGCCGCCGAGACCATGCTGCTGCCGCCGCTGCTTTTGCGGGCAGACCAGGCTGCTTCACTGTGACTGTGGTGGTGGTGGCTGTTCATGGGGGTGTGGTGTTCGGGCTTGACTAAGGAGGCTAGATTGGGGTGGTGGTGGTGATGAGGTTGGGAGTGCTGGTGCTGGTGCTGATGCTGGTGTTGGTGTTGGTGTTGATAGGTGGGCTGGGGGGAATGCCATTTTGGTTGAGGTGCTGTTAGATGTTGCTGTGTTTGTTGTTGTGGTTGTTGTTGTTGCCTTCCGTGACTGACGCCGTCTCCTAGGGTGGTCGCTGAGAGCGGCCCTGTGTGATGTCGAGACATTGTTTGAGATGGGCTTATTGATAGGTATTGTTGGCAATGATAATGACGATATGCAGTGTATAGGAGGTCTGTCAAAGAGAGAGGTAGGTAGATAAGGTATAGATAAATAGATAGGTATGAGGGGATGATGGTGGTTGCCAGTGATGCCTCTCACTACAGTATGTTCTTCAGATTGCTTGAGATCGATCGAGGATGAGATCAAGTTATGTGGCAAAAGTGGTTTGTAAGAGGTGAAAGAAAGAATAAGTTTGGGAAGAAAAAAAGGATTTCCTTCCCCTCGGTCACGAAAAAAGATGTAAGTAGGGGGACCAGAACAACGATCGGGGGCATAGCCCTCCCTCCCTTTTTGATGACCAGATATGGATCAGACCACGAGCCCTACCTGTGTCAACCTGGGCCGTGTCCGCCGGTCCGTTGGCCGGGGCCCTGTCAGTGTGTGTTGGATTGGATCATGCTGCCGCCCCAATCCCCGCGGACGCGGACGCGGGACTAGGAAGGGAAAGCCGCCGCCCATTCTGTGTTGTGTTGTGTTGTGTGTGCTGTGTGCTGATGTGGAATCACCAGAAACAACAACAACAGCAGATGCTGGGTGTGTGTTTTCCGCAAGTTTCCAGGTGCTCCATAGCGTCAAAGGCGCTGGCGATGATGGCCTAAAGTGCGCGCTGACGCATTTGCGATGGTGGGCAGATTATGGATGGATGGATGGATGCCCATTGGATTGTGACCCGAAATGGCCTCGAGTTACTTTTTTGTTTTCTGCCATCCAATGTTGCAACAAGTTAACTTGAAAGAGACACACAGTTCCATGGCTTGGAAAAGCAGAAAAGAACAGGGCACTATGCCGTCTCTTCCCTGTCCGGTTCCTGCAGCGGCCATTGGATCGATGGATGGTGCATAATACCACTGTAATACAACGCCACGTCGCCCTCTGAACCCTGAAAGGCGAACCCAAGCTGTTTTAGGTAGACCAGCCTTCAGGTTCCAGCTTCCATCTCGGGGGGCTCAAGAGGCCCGCCAACGAGACGTCCGTCCTGGCATTGCGCTACAGGGGGTTGGCTTTTTAGTGTTGTTGGGCGGTGGACATTGATGGACGTCAACATCACCTACAAGGGAACCCAAGGGGGACAAGAGCCGCGCGCACTTGCGATGGACTTTTGTCATCTCAGACAACGCTTGTGGGGAGATGACGATGGGGAAGAAAATGTGGGTGAAAAAAGAGACAAGGGAAGTGTTTGTTTTTCCTGTCATCTTTTTTTTAATGGAGACCGGACTGGATGGTGAGAAAGGAAACAGGAACACAACGAACAAACATATCGTGACGGAACTCGCTCTTTATTTCCATGTCCACAAGCGAGACCTTTTGTACGCGTGCAAGGGTGCCTCCAACATATGTAAATCCTACCCCTACTCCCGTCCCTCTTAGGCATTTGGGCTATTTGGGGGCGCATCACAGTGAGCAGCCAGTTCTCGGAGAATAAAAGGGGGCGCGAGAGGGAGACCGGGGAAGCGTCAGGTTGACCGTCCGGTAGTGCAAAATAAATTGTACTGTTGATATGATGCAGACCAATATCGTTAATTCCGGCCGGGTAAGCGAAACATGACAAGCAGTCCAGCAGCAGGCAAGGCGAGCCGATTCGTGCTCCATTTTGTAGTAGGTATTCGACGCAAATGCGTTGCGTCAATGTTGGGGCTTTACCGTATGTTTGTTTGTAAACAGGGCCAGCCTACCAGAGCTCAGGGGTGAACGGACGACGGTCCGGTCCGGGGCTGGGGCACCGGGGACAGCATGCCAACAACAAGGTGGATGGGCCTCCATGCTCCACCAACCGAACGTTGTCGACTTAATGCCGGCATGAAGCCATGGTGCCAGCCCAACCTTCTGGACAACCTCGACCATTTCTAGTGTACTTGCTGTTGATCAGGCTTGTGGTGGTGTGACCTGTCAAGGCGAGAATACGAGGGGGGACACACGTCTATCGTTCCGCTGGTGTTCATCGGGACTGCCACCCACCTACCCACCCACATCATGTGTTCCCGATCTTGGGAGGTGGGATGCTGTTACTACCCACGAAAACAGTCCATCTCGCATCACATCAGATGCGCAACTGAGAGTTTGATACCGCCGACCTGCGGCTCGGGCTGGTCGCAGAGAGGGCCGTAAGGGATCCACGTGGCTGGGTGACATGTCCCGGGTCCAGCGCCGACCTGCCACCGAGGGACTCAGACAAAGCCGAGCTGAGGACGTCGCCAGTGCCCCCCCCTGGATCGAGTTACTGCAGTAACATGCGGCTCATGTCGTCTGCAGCCCCCCTGTCCTTTCCAAGTAACCAATGGGGTGAGAGGTCGGAGCTCTTCTTTTGACGACATGTCATGCCGGGTGAATATGTCCGCCCCGAGCCACCAACTGCCGATGCGGTGTCTAGCTGTCCATTCTCGTTTTGGACTGAGCGATGGGTGCGATCCTTCTTACGAATGGACTCGCTAATGGTTTTCTCTAGATTTGTCCTTACCAGGCAAGCTGTCACAGATTGGTGGTGTGATTTATGCTGGATGTTGACGGAAAAGAACCCGGAGCAGAGGGAGGGGGTAAAGCCGAGCGTCGACAGGCTCATAGTATGGTAATATCTCTGATTAGAACATTTCCAGGACGACCAATGGTTAAAGAGGTTGTTTGTCTAGTTTGTTTCCCATCAAGGGGCGGAATAAGTCGAGGATATGCCATCTTTGTTGACTGATGGCCTTGAGGGAGGGGGCCGGATCATGAATGTTGGTTTGCCAAGACAAAGCAGGGTTAGGGGTGGCTATGTGACGGTGAGTTTCCCAACAAGATGCGCCATCAGTCAAACCCGGACATGGCCTTTTAAAACTAGGTACCTCTAGCTTGTAAACCATGTTGGAGCTACGAGTGTCCATCTCAGGGCTGACAACAAGAAAATATTTATTGCCAAACGAAATGGCATCAAATCGGTTTGTTCAAGGTGAAATCATGGGGCCGTATGCTTGACTGAAACTTGGACTTCCTGGCTGAAGGATGGCTATTTCCTCCCGAAAGATATGACCCAAGGAACACCAAAGCCTTTTGATTGCAGGAAACTCAATGGGTACCAGACAAGTGAGATAGAGGCGAGAGATGGGCGGTAACTGCCGGTCGGGACGTCGTCTTCCGTTCCTCAAGTCGCGTACTTTATTGGAATGTCGACTTGACGATTGTCCAAATACCTACTGAAACCGAGACGATGCCATGAGGAGAGCTGGGACTGGAAAAAGTCATGTTAAATAAGGTTGTATAGTAAAAGGACAACAGGGGTAAAGGGGCAGGGCCGTTCCGGGGCGAGGCACGTGCCAGGAACAGTGAGCTAGAGGACCCCGCCGCTGCCTTTTTTGCGCAAGGCTAAATTGCTAGCACTAACTGAAAAGTACAAGAATAAAAGGACTGTGCTTGGCGCTATCAAGACTCGAGACAAGTGACGTCGAGAGGCGAAGTGTACATCTAGCGGGTGCCAACAAAATCTAGCTGACTGATTAGTAGGTAATTTACATATGAGAAATCAAAGACACCAAGATGTAGACTGTACAGTTCTTCATCTGTATATTCTCTCCCATCTCGACAGCTTCGTTGTAAAGGGACACTCAACATGTCTGGACAATGGTCTTGATGCCAAGAGTGGTGGCCAATGCGTACCTACCTACAAGTAGGTACTCAAACAACACTGTCCTTCTAAAAAGATCGGCAAGCTCACCCACCGGCGTCATCATTCGGTGGGTGTCTGGGGCCCCACATTTGCAGCAACATCAAGCTACACTAGTAATGTTCCTGGCTACGCTTAGGTGCCGTGCTTGCTTAGGCCAAGGCCTATCTTCAGCGGTCATTCGCTAGAAACAGACCTGGAAAGCTGCGACATTGAACCTTCTTGATCTTCAATCCGGTCCTGTCATTCGCGCACCTGGATGGAACTTGCAATTTCCGCTTATCGCTCGCTCGCAATCATCTCTTTCTCGCTCCCTTCGTTGGCTCACAATCTTCCAACTTTTCCATTCTTCTTTCGTCGAGGAACCTCGACAACCCCTCCGGATCCCTAACAGTCTGTCGCCATTCACGCCTCTTCCAAGACCGACACGCGCCATCAAGTAGCTGGCTGGCTCTGGATATCTAATCTTCTGCTTGTCCCTCTTTTTTGGATACCCATTCGCTATTCATCGCGCGTTGCTCACCACACACGGCACTCGGGCGGATGACGGCTTCGCAATCACACCTCATCTCGGTCCTCGCCATCCCGAATAACGATTCCCCTTACATTAGCGCGACCCCGCCTATCGGCTGACGACATCATCATCAGACGACGACAAAAACAACGACGACGACAAAAACAACGACGACGACGACAACGGTCTCTCTCTCTCTCGTCTCTTCCACCCCGACCACCACAACACCGAACCAAGTTTACTTCTCCCACAGTTGACATTGAGCCACCATTAATTGCTCCCGATCCTTCCGCGGGACAACGCTCCCTTGGGGGTATTCGATGCCATCTCCCTAACCACGTTGATCCTCGCTAGACTTCGCCTGTCACATAACCTCGCCGCACGAGCTCCTATCACATACACACACACACATATATATATATATACCTTCAAGGTACCCGCGAGTAGTAGCAGTCGAGATAGATGGCCCCGACAATGTTATCACGACTACACCTCCGACGACCACCTTCCACGCCGTCATCTCCCGTGCCCGGCCAAGCGAGCTCCTTGGACCTGGATACAGCATCCCAGCCTCCGACAGCTCCCGATGGCCGACCACAGCCAACCAGATCAGCTAGCTCCTCCCACCTTCCATCCACCCTCTCGACAACCCCAAAACCGATACCGAATATCAGCGACAATGGAGGCATCAGTGCAGCAGCTTCAGTTAGTGGAATGCCTCTACAGATGTATCAGTCTGCCGGAAGTTCGGCCTCCAGCCAACCTTCGGAAAGTCACAAGTCGAGAACAAGGCAGGCCCCGCCGCCCATCGACACTACCGCCGCTACTCGGGCGTCCTTGGCTACGAGACTGAGTAAGATCTCGTCCTTCGTGACCCCAACCGACCTCAATAGCAGTGGCCCTTTCGGCAAACGTCCGACGGGGAAGCGCATGGCTAGCGAGCCAGCCACCAAAGCCATCACCACCCCGGAATCCGCAAAATCCAAAAAGTCTTTGCCTTTCCTCAAGAAACACTCGGTATCCAATTTGTGGATGAGGAGGAAGACTGCGCAAAACCCACCAGATCTGCCACCTCTGTCCTCCTCGGCTGAGCCCACCTATGACCCACGTATCCGGGGCACAAAGGTCCACGACTTCAGTGCTCCTAGACCCAAACGGACGACGTCGCAGAAGGAGGCTGCTGTCAGTCCTGTTAAGGAGTCTCCAAGTAACGATGCTACGTCAAACTCACATGCAGCGGAAGCGAGTACAGGTAGCACATTCGCGGGCACTTCACAAATTCTGACTCCTGGTCTCGATGACGTTCCCTTTTTCCCTTCATCGGGGGTGCAGGTGACCAGGGGCAACAGTGATGCGAGATCAATACCAGTAGATAGCTTACCATCACCGTCTCTTGCCAACTCTTCGCCGCTTGAACAGGATGCGCGGCCGTCAGTACAGCTCAGGGATGATCCCGTTCCCGCCCAGGATCCTTCGTCATCGGTGGCATCTCAGGACACTTTGACTGTGACCAGACCCGGCCCCAACGCCAACGCTTCAGTCCGAACCGCGACATCACGCAACGTATCCAAGCGATCTATTCGAGACTCTGCCTTGTTCGGCCTTCCGAAACACATGAAGAGCACATCGTCTCGGTTCAGTTTCGACATGATGGGCTCAGCCGATGAGGAGAAGGCGTTGGAAGAACGACATCGACAGCGTCAGCGAGAGAAGGGGGGCGGCGCCGCAAGTGCGCTGAGGCAAGAACACGATTCCAGATTTGATGACCTGGAAGAGGAAGATTTCGACTATGACGCCATGATGGACGACGACGGCCTGGAAGAGCCGATCCCCGGTGTTAATGCGGATTACGAGGATGACTACATGGAGGAGCCAATTCCGGGGGCTAACGCGGACTACGATGATCTAGAGGAGCCGATTCCGGGCGTCAATGCTGGTTATGAAGAGCTTTCTGGGGAAAGTCAAGGCAACGAGCATGATACGGATTCAGACCCAGACAATGATCAAGAGAACTTTGCTGGGTTTGAGTTTCAACGATCAAACAAAGGCTCCGGCCCCATCACCCCCCGTAGCCCTCTCATCGCTTCAACGCCCAGCAATGAGACCGACCAGCCCGTCGCTTCATCCGTAACGGAGAACAGTACTCCCGATTTACCAAAATGGGCCACGATACCTGACCAGGCTGCTCCCACACCAGCTATTCCAGTGCCACAGCAGTCATCAAGCCCCGAAACTGCTCATGCACGAATCACTGCAGAGCCTGTTCCTATCGGACTGCCACCGACCAACCCCACCCGCAGAGAGGATGATGGCGACATCTACTTTGACAACGGCTTGGCAGATGAACTAGACTTTCAGGGCGATGGTACCCATTTTGACGAATCCCTCTTTGATCTCGACGACACCGATCAATATGGCCGCCCTATCCCGGGTGCTTTTGCTCGGGCTGCTGAGCAGGCGCGGGCTCGGCAGCTGGCCCAACTCGCCGAGGCCAATGCCGCAGCTGCCCCTGGTGTTGACCCAGCGCAGTCGACGGCTTCTGGCTCCATGAATGCCCTTGCGACTGGAGAAGACGCTTCTTCCACCCAGCTCCCTCAGATGCCTACCCAAGCCATGCAGCAACAAATGTCGATATCTGGCCTTGATCTGGCATACCAGGCGGCCCTGGCCGAAGCGGCACAAAGAGCAGCAGAATCTGGCAAGTTCCAGAGAAGTTCGTCACCTGACATACCCGAAGAGCCTACTGTCATGTCACCCACCGATTCGGCCCAGTCGCACGACTTCGTACAACGAAACGAACTGGACGACTACGAAAACGATGATGATTGCTTTGGCGACGGCTTAGACGATTACGACTTTGACGATGAGGCCATCATTGCTGAAGCGAACGCTAGTGCACTAGCGAACGACTCTGATGGTTGGTACGGTCAAGAATTCGGCTTCTACTCTGCTCCCTTGGCCCAATCAGGCCATGGTTACGGCAGTTCATCCTCTAGTCGCAATCCCCCGGACTCAGAGGACCCCTTCCAGTATTCTTATGGTGGCTACTTCGGCCCTGTAGGCGAGGGCGTTTTCCGGTCCAAGAGTGGCCGTGTCGTATGTCGCGAACCTACTCTGACACCCATCACGGAAACGTCCGAGTACTCTAACCGTAACTCCATCATGAGTCTCAACCTTCCGCCATCCATTGATGCTCGTAACTCGGCATCTCTGCAGAGTCCTACCCTCGCTCAACTGGCCCTCATGGACGATGACGAGTTTGATTCGATCAACAAGCTGCGCAGAAAAACGTGGGCAGGCTCTCAAGCTAGTCTTATGAACTCCCGGGAGGGAAGTCCCAGGGCAGAAAGGGCGTCGTATCTCATTGACTCGACTGGTTCGCCGTTCGCTGCCACGGCTGGCGGCCATTTTGGGGCGGGCCTTGGTACATATGATCATACCAAGAGAAGTTCCTACTCGATGTTGAATCCTTCGCAGCCAGAAGGTGAGGGAAGATCGGTCAGTCCCACGCTTACGAACAAGATTCAAGCGGTGACCATGCCGATTAGTCCTGTTCCGGGGTTTGTCCCACCCAAAGACATGGGGCTTCCCCAGCAACAACCTTCGCTTCTCGGCCCGCCTGTCATGATGCCTACGTCAGCACCGCAACAGTTCGCGGTGGAAACAGGACTGAGAAGTGGACAAGGCTGTCCTCAAGTGGAGGAAAATGACGAAGCCTTGGGAGTGGTGCCGGGCAGTTCACAGAAGCCGCTTCAAGAAGTTGCTGGAGTCAATGGCGGAATAACATATGATTCGTTGGGAAGAAGGACGTCATCTGTTGTTAAAGGTGTCGAACAACAGGAGCAAAAGAAGAAGGTGGTAGGATGGGCATAATTTGGATATGTCCTTGTTGTTGAGAAGTTGAATCATCTGCATATATACCTTACTACTTGTTGGATACCATAGGGGACATATTTCAATGTTAATGGCTTGTTGGATACAGTCCGTTTTTCTGTCATGCATTGTCCTCGCCGTTGCTCTGGTAGTGTCGGGAACAATGTTACATCAAACTCGGTCATAAATTGAATCATGAAGGCATCACAAACTTCTCACAAGGAACACAATAGGGCTTTGAACGAAACAGCAACATTCCATATTAACAGATCTAGCAAGGTATCGACCATCAACAACCAACATCCCATATTACAACAAGATTCCCCCCACTTATTCACCCAAAAACAGCAACAAATCCAAAACAAAAACAACAAGCTGAGTGCCGAGGACCCTAACAAAGTCGACCCACCCATTTACTTACCGTACCAGACAACTTACAGCACCACAACCACAGCCACAACCGGCCCCAAACGTCACCAACAACCTAACGGAACCCAAGATGAACCCTCGCCCTCCTCTGCACCTCCTCCCGAATCAACACCACCTTCATCCTACACTTGATACTCTCCCGATCCAGACCAGGCCACATCTCCCTTCCGCGAGCGATATCCGCCTCCGTGACGACCACGTTAGGGGGCTCAGACGGGTAAGTATTTCTTCCATTGCCACCACCACCATTACCACCACCGTTATTGCCACCATGCTGCTGATTGCTGCTGCTGCTGCTGCGGGGAGGGGGTTGTTGTTGTTGTTGGCGCCGGTTAGAATCACGTCTCATATCGATCACAAGCGTGCTATCAGTTGAGAAATCGGATCCCCCACCACCAGCGTCGGAATCAGCGTAGGGAAGTAATTGCGGGCCGCCCTGGTTTTGAGACTGAGTAGTCGAGGCGAGGGAAACTACCGTGGGGGCATGTGAGCCGCCTTGGGCATGAAGGAGGGATAGTTCCCTTGCGGATAAGTCGCGACCGCGACCGCGGGGGTGGCTACTGCGATTCATGCCGCCCGAAGAAGAAGAAGCTCCAACTTGACTGAGGGAGTCATCGGGGCGGACGGTGGAAGCGTGGCTAGCTCGGCTGGCGCGGGAGTTGGTGGATACCACGGAACCAACTTGGCTGCTGGAGTCGGAAGGGTCGACGTCACGGAGGGAGTGGTATGAGCCTTGGTGGGACTGGCGAGAGGCACCACGGCTGCTGATTTGGCTGGCGGGGTAGTCGATGCCTAGTTGGCCTTGTGAGTTCACGTATGTAGGACGGATGGTGGATTGGGAGGAGGCGGTCGAGGGCGCCACGGAGCCGGCGGTGGAGCCGGGGCCGCGGCCGGAGTTTATGTAGTACTCGACCGGGTGAGTGTAGCTGGCGCTGCTGTAGTAGGATTCGGGCATTTTGGGCGAGAGTGTTTGGTGGAGTGGTTTTCTAAGAAGGGTCGCAGATGAAGTGAGTTGTTGTCGTTGTCGTTGTTCCTTGCTGGTTGTTGCTGCTGTTGTTGCTGGCTGTTGACTTTTTCGGTTTCAACTTTTCGGAAACGGGACGCTCCACGACCAGATTTATACCTCATTCCATCTCCTCCTCGAGGCCTCTCGATCCTTCGTCTCGTTCCCTTGACAATGGAATTCTTCACCGATCTTCTTTCTCGCTAGCGCAGCGGTATGTATGGATGGAACAAACTCGCTGTTCACTCCCCGAACTACGCCAAAGTCATTGAAACAATGGACTTCTTCACAGTTCTCTTTCGTACAAAACCGTCATGCAAGGAACACACTCGGTATCTCTTTTGTGGACTCCTTGGTTCTCGGTAGATCTCCGTCGGGTAGATGGTCAAAGTCACAGACAATGCGTTTTTTTTTTTTTTTTATCCCGTATTCATTACCAGGTACACCAGGTATGCATTGTTTTCATGCTCAGATGCTCAGAAAAAGGGGGCCGGGCAGGATGGATCTGTTCACAAGACACACAAAGGCAGCTTAATTCTACCAAGTGTGTCCAATTGTTTCCTTTACAAGGCCCTTGTCTTTATCTCTCTCTCACCCGGCACCGGCTCGGCAGCTTCGCAAGATTCCTCTTTTTTTCTTTGTTGACTGACTGACGGATTTCCTCTTTTGATCTGAATGTCCCTGGAAATTGACTGCTTGGCCTACTTGGCTTTGGACTCTAACCATACTTCTATATATCGTTGTCTCTTCCATCTTTCAGGATTGTTTCAACTGGATACTTCCAAGATTGAACGAGCAACCACCCTTTTAATGACAAGGGCTGAAGATGACAGTAGGTATGTATTGGGGACTTGTCGTGGTCAAGCGGCAGGCCAGATCACCTTTAGGCTACCTACCTAGAGGTAGGAAATTGATTACTAGTTCATGTCCTGGCTAGTGCATCGACTAATTCATGTTGGGTTCTTTTTGGATTTCTTTCTGCTTGGATCTTTTCTGAACTCGATACTGCTTCATGGCATTCTTTCCTCCGTGAAGTTTCCATCCAACCCTGGTACATACGACCCAAAAAGCACTCGTGTTCACTCAAAGTGGAAGACGTACGGACTCCTAGCAGATGACCGTCATTGATGGCCCTAGTGATCAGAGTTCAAGAGATCGGTCGGACTCCTTCATACAAGCAGACAGCGTTGGATGCTCCTCTCTACCATTGTGAGGCGAATGAGGACTCGTGGTTCCCTGCCGGAATCAGGGAAATGCTTGAAAAAGAGACACATGTGATTCTCCCTCAGATGCCTGCGGATAGGAAGCACTGTAGTCGGGTTTACCTACCTCTAGTTAGCGCCTTCATCCTTCGGCGATAAACACGAGATAAAGCAAGATCATCCTGTGTTACTATTTTATCTCTTCTGTTGTTGTGGGCTCACTCGCCTTCCGCTGCCTCCTCTGATGGTGATGCAATTTGATTTTCCCGCGTTTTAGTCCGATCAGAACACCACTTTGAACATCTGGCTTGGAGTCACCGATCACGTACAAGAGTTTGTCGATGAATGTAGGGCTGGAGACAGGGGTATGGGAACAATGTGTTTGGGTGGATGGTACAGGCATGGTGTTTTACATTGAGCTTCATGCTTCGTACCGGTACATGGGTAGGGGTACCTACCTGCCTTGCCACAACGTAGTCTGGACTGGTCTAATCATGTTGAATCATATCGCTTTTCTCCCATTCTTCTACATGTTTGTCCTTAATCCCACTTTGCTCGTTCGTTTCATTTTAACTAGCGGAAGCATGCGTACTAGGCGAGTCTTGGCAGGAACCGTACCTAGGCTCGAAGACACCATCGTACAAGGCGGGCTGGCCCGCAAACACTACCTTATTTCAACCCTTGTCGTTATGTTTCATCCTGTGAAAATGTGCCTCTATATTGCCGGCGGTCATGGGCAAACACGGACGCGGTTCGGATGGAAAGCGGAAGCATACCTACACCAACAACGCAAGAAACCGGGAATTCGGCATGCCTTGAACTGTGTGAGGGCTGCAAAAGCTGTGAAGTATGGTAGTATCTATATAAACCTAGTCCCCCCTCGCCATCGATCGAGTCAACCGCTTCACCTCACACACGGACTCTCTCGATCGCCAAAAATTTCCGGCAGAGAAGATTTCTTTCAACAACTACGTGCACTCAACAACTTTTGTCTCTCAACCCTCAATTCACAACAGCAACCATGCGTTCCCCCACCTTTACCAACTCCCTCGGCTCCCTCGCCATTCTCATGGTAAGTCTCTCTCCCTCTCTCCCTCTCTCCCCACAACCTCACCATCTAACTTCCCTCTCGCAGTCCACCCTCACCCTCGCCCACCCGACGGTCCACGCCATCCCGACCCCCGACCTCCTCGGTCTCGACGACGACCCGACTCTCAACGCTACCGCCCTCCAAATCCTCACTCCTCCCGAACCCCTCACCGTCCTTCCCCCCGACGACACAATCACCATCACCTCCAACTCCAGCACCATGAGCACCCTGAGCATCGCCACCACCGGCCCCTGGATCGCCGGCTGCATCCAAGTCGACAACATCGGCACCGGCAGCCCTGCCTCTTCCAAGCACATCCGAGAGGGCATCAAGTACCTGCGTGGCGTCCCCGGTCAGCCACAAATCACCCACTACGGGTGCTCGCAGGTGAGCTGCAGCTACAAGAGCGCCATCTTTTGGTGTAACGAGGAATTGGGGTGGGGGTTGCGACTGAACAGTTTTGCGGATATTGCGGATGGGGCGCAGGCGATCATGGACCGGTGCGGCAAGGGGAAGGACGTGATGGGGAAGTCGACGACGGGGTGGGCGCCGGATCAGCAGAAGGGACAGCAGTGGAGTGTTGTTGTTACGGGAGGGGATTGTTGAGGTATCTGCCGGTGGGTGGGTGGATGGTTCTGAAAGGGGTGAGTGAGATTCAAAAATGGGGATGGAGATGGAACTGAAGCTGAAGAAAGGAAAGGGGGATGGATTGTGAATGTTGATGCTGCCCTCGGGCGTTCCTAGGAGGAGTTCGTGATGGAAAAAGAAAACTGGCGTGGTTTAAGATAGAGGAAGGATGTTTCGATGGGAGAAAAATAATAGAGTCTCATGGTTTTGAGCCACTGAATGAGGAAGAAGCCGAAGGATAGGTAATAAGAAGTGCCATGAAGTAATACGATCGAAGATCCAAATGCCAGAACCTCAACCCACTACCTCAAGCACACACACCACCCTTGACAAGAACTGACCATCCACCCGCAAAGAGTACAGAATCAGCAAGCTGTGTCTCCCCCATACCCTTCTCATCTTCTCAGTTAACCAAAGGATGACACTTATCAAGGTCACCAAAGGCTTCGATATATGCACCTCGATCCAAAAGCAATTACACCACGGTCATCTCTGGATTTGGATGGCGCGCCCGAGCTGCTTAGGTATGCAGAACTGTTTGTTCTTTCTGGTGACTTTGTAGAATGACATGTCTTCCCCGACAATCGACTGTACGTTTCGTCGCTTGTCGCGCTGCTCGGGTAACGACGACGCACCGCATCCATGACCGTACCGTTGTATCCGCCGAAGTGGATGCGCTCGCGGATTCAGCATGTACTTGGTGTGCAAGGAATGAGGGATTTGCCATGGCCATTGTGTGTCAGCATGCATCTGAAAAACGAGTACAGAGGGCTCAACCTGAGGGTTTGCTGGGATAAGTTCTGGTGCTGTTTGGTGAAAGAAGTACCTTTACACAACGTCTTCATGGAAAGAGACGAACAAGCCTGTGTGCAGCATTCATCTCTGACACTTTCCAGTGGCCGTACAGGTCCATAATGAGGCGTAGGGCTCGGCGAACGAGTGAATTCTCTGTCGGTCTGCTTAGGAGCTTCTCATATGCATCCTTTACAGACGTTGGCAACGTCGTGAAAATATGTTCAATGCCGTCCGCCGTCTTTTTTCAAGATTGGAATCGTTCATCGTCGACAAACAGGGCAACCCGAAGGCACGTGCATTGTGCAATCTTGGACAGCATGTCGTGTGTTTCTTCCTCAGATCAACGTGGAAGGCGGTTTCTTTAGCAAACTGTCCCAGGACAATGTTCGATGGCAAGGATGACCTCTTACTGATATCATTGCACTGATCTTCGCCCATGATTCGCACATATGACGGAACAACGTTTTCCAGGGAAGCAAACTGGGAGGAGATGATTTGATAAGGGCCCGTTCTGAAGAGGAATTTGGTGTTGAAAGACTTTGCCATGTTCTGATGGAGATCTGGGACCAGGGACTTTATAGGTCAGAGGTATCACATCCATCGAGCGCGTCCATGATAACTACCTATATTGGAGCCAGCTTCAGGGTCGCGTACAATCTGCGAAAAGATGGTCCAGAGCGACGATGGAATATTGACAAGCCCCTGAGAATCTCGTAAGAGTGGATCCATGGCATGCTTTTTGAGCAATATCGGTGTGTTGAAGATGAGATGACGAAGTATAGTGTTGAGACATTCTGGTTCATTGGGGTTCTTTGAGGAAGAAGTAGCGAATAGTATTACGCAGTAGGAGGGGTCCGGAACTTTGTTCCATCCACTGGCAAAAGCTTCGCTGTCGATCGAAACCGACCGTCTGCCACTAGTCAGGGGGTATGCAGGTAAGCCCGCTAACCATTCAGCTTAGTGCGGGCGACTTTAGCGCGTAGGGGTTTTGGTACATAGCTACACGAACTCTACTCTTTGGTCACTTCGTAGGTATCCGTATTTGTTGAACGTTGCTGTTGAAGGCACTCGATTTCTTTATACGATATTTCTCGCTTGTCCCTTCGCTGTGCTTCGGCTTGCTGGAACTTGTAGTGCTCAGTGAAGGCGATCAGAATTTCCTATTCAACCTGCAACTGTTTCTCGGTTGTGTTGGCGATCTTTTGTTGTGGTGTTCTTGGCTTCGAGAAGCAGAGTAGAAGCGGTGACCAGCTCTACTCGTCTGGGCTAGAGGCGTTTCTAGCCCAGACAAGTAGTTCTAGGCCTTGGTTCTGTGGAGCTTTTGCCTTCTCATTGTTGGCCCGCAACTCCTTCCACGTTTTCAGCTTGAAGGTCTCCTTAACGAACGTCTTGGCAGTATGTTCATGACCCCGAAGAACTGTACGGCTCTGCACCTTTGGTAAGGCATTGTAGATTATCTCAAAATACACCTCCATCACCACCTCTAGATGCAAATTCAAGGGGTCGTCCCGTAGGGGAAACAGAGGTTCGAGAGCGGAGTAGTACTGCATCTTGTGAATGGTATATGTGAAGCCTTCGCGGTTCGCTTTTTCAGCTTAGAAATGGTTGGTCAAAAGCGGGAGGATCAGACATACGGCGACTCAGGCTATTGATGTTTCGGAGAATGCGCTCACGGCTTGGTAGCGAATCCTTTGATCGTGCGCAGACACTATACCGTTCTTCCCATGACATTGCCTGTGCATCCTATCACCCTCTCTTCGGTTGTCCCCAGCCGGCTGGAGTATTGAACATCGAGGTAATAGACAACCCAAGTCAAGTGTAGTCGTAAATGCACCTGGATACTAGATCCGTCCCTTGATGGTAAACATTCTTGATGGACGCAATCATCAAAGAACAGACAGTCTGAGTCGACAAAACATAGTAACTCATGGAAGTCCACCTCACATAACGGCCTTGAATTGTCGCTTCTTTCCTGTTGAACCAGTGCTGTTTACAGGCTCTTTTCTGTCTTTGGCGTTTTCCCAAGGTCGAATTGTAGATCCACGTTTCGCCGTGTTCCTCTAGCAGGCCAACAATCAACCCATTTAGAGCGACAGGTTGACTCTCGACAGCCTCTCGGCTTTTGGGCAGATTATTTTTTTCATCAGCTGGTCAACCAGTCTGATCTTGGGCACCTTAGCACCTCCTATGATTGCGAGAGGTATGTGCCCCTATCCAACGAGGAACCTTGGCAGGCTTAGGTGTCGGCAACAATAACAGGCGCCGTACCCGAGGATTGCTTGTTGCCAATTGTTCTGTTGACAAAGCATTTAGAGCACGCTTCTGGTAAAAATGGCCCATTTCCAGGAGTTTGATTCTCCAGGTTGTAGCTCGAAGAGCTGAGTAGGTAGTCTGTATGAGAACAGGACTGGTGATGTTGCGTCGGATGAGTGGAGGGTATGAGTTGAAGTAGCGTTAGCATTTACCAGGAGTGGGGTTTTAAATGAGAGCGAGAGCTTCGAGGTTTGATGTGGGAGATAGGTAGGTACCTGATCGGTTCAGACCACAAGGTGACTCCTGCTGAAGCACATTGTGGAACGTAACCGACGTGATTGGATCAACAACGAAGAAACCTGTCGACCACTGGTAGACAAGAATTGCATGCATTACCACCAGACGCTGCTCATCTTCTCGGAAGAAGTTGCACTGTATCTGACAGTCATCTCCGATTCTGAAATGACATCGGATCCCAACTTCTCCGTGCGGGCTTCGCCTGGGTAGATGTAGATGGCGCTCACTGTCGTATGAGGACCTGCGTTGTTCTGGGAGCCTCTTAGATCGTCACCGTTCGAGTGCACCTCAGACGTTGGGGATGACGACGATGAAGTCTCAACGAGCCGAAAAATCTCCTTGTATCCCGTGGGCACAAAACCCAGGCGCGCGAATGTCTTCTTTCCCGCAGGCGTTGCCGTGAGTGCTGTTGATCAAGGAACCAATCCCGTCAGTCTTGATATTTCCAACCCAGTCAAAGCAACCGACGAGCTTTCGAGTTACTCACCAGAGAATCCCAGAACATCCCATCTCCTCTCCGCCGCCTCAGCGTTGAATGCCTCAACCCTCCTCTGGATCTCTGCCAATACCATGTCCGCAAATCGCATGCTGCCATACTCACAGCCTCCCACTGTCACTGTTGCAGGCCGCGCACCAGTCTTCTTCGAGGCGTCTCCGGCGTCCCATGCAGTGAAGCGTTCGATGTGGAACACATGCAATCCAACCTCCACAGGCGCCTGCAGCTGCACCTCACTCTCCATCTTCGTGCTGCTTCCACCACCACCACCAACACCCGCGAACATCTCTCCAGCATCAATGTCCACCTCCTTGATCTTGCCCACCAGCAAGTCCTCCCAATACGTCTTCACAAGAGGAAGGACAATGATGACGCCCACTGGTTGTTCCGAGCCATCATTGCTGGCACTGAAGCAGATTGACAACTCGGGACAGGCGTCTCTCCAACTTTGCAGGCGCTCATAGGTCAACGGAGCCGGGTACATTTCTTGATCGGAAGCGTAGATGGTGTGGAGGAGGGCGTCGCTGATTCGACTGGTGTGGAGGAGGCTGGATATGGTCATTGTGGCAGAGAGTGTCGGGGTGGGGACGGGATTCAAGCGAGAGGTGACCGCGAAAATGTAAGGTAAAGAAGTCGTGAAAGACTGTGGAAGACACGGTGACGGTGTCCGCTGAGGATGTTCTCTTGGCCTTTGGTGCAACGGAGTGCTGCGGTGCGACTGGTGGAAGTTGGAAATCCCAGAGTTTTGCTGAAGTCCAGCAATTTTAATTCGATCTTCACCAAAAGGAGGAAAGAACTCGGCCAGCAATTAACGAGTGAACGGAGACAGCTGGATACACAAGGAAGGAATGACAATGACAACTTGAGTAAAGAAATTGCGCCCGTTATGACTCGCGACAGGTATGTGAGAAGTGCTCAGTATGCCAGTCAGTGGCAAGATGGTGGAAGCTCACAATTTTACCGAGTTTGAAGATGAGAATTTTTTCTGGCAGCCTAATAAAATTGAAACATCACAGCAGCCGATGAAACCTTATGCTACACAGCTCTGGCGGCAACAAAGACACAAAAATACACTTCTTTGAAAAGCCATTGTACAGAAACTTGATTGCCATAAGCCACAAAGGAAAAAAAGAAAGAAACAGAGAGAGAGAGAAACGAGAGATACACGAAAGCGAAAGATGCAAAAAAGATGATGTTGTCCTAGAAGGAACATCGGGAATTGAGCCCGACGTGGGGGTCGAACCCACAACCTTGAGATTAAGAGTCTCACGCTCTACCGATTGAGCTAGCCGGGCAGCGCAAGCTGCCATTGGTTGATGGTTTACATCAAAACTTTACACTATATTTGAAGGTAGGCCCCGCATAACCCAAATTTGTCACTTGAAGTGAGAAACACCGCCGCACAAAGGCAGCCACTCTTCGTTTTGACCATCCAAAACCATCCAGTAGAGTCTTCTGACTGTTTCATTCCATAATATAAGACTTTCTCATAAATGTTCATTCCTTCCAAATGCATGCAATGGTAGCCGCAAGCGACCAATCCACATCCCCGGACGGAACACAAAGCGCGCCCATCCAGCCCCCTGCAAGGCTTACACTAGATTTCCAGAGGCTATCTAGGTATTTTCCGATAAGCGATCCGACGCCTCGGGATTTTGTCATTGCCATGATAGCCATGACAGGAAGGGATCTACACGCTAACCCGATGCTGAAGTGAAGCATGACATGAACATCACGCAGGTCCCACATCCAAAGAGGCTAACTACATTCGCCGTAGGATGCATACCGCCTTTTGCATATGTCGTGTTGGGTCCATTGGGCTTCAAGTTGCTGCCATCAAGGTGCGGCGGTCACGGCAGGAAGCAACTCAAAAAGAAAACTCATCATCCACGAAGCGGACCTGAATGTATTAGAGTTGAGAGTGTGTCAATCACCAGACCTTGAAATTAGTGACAAGTTGCCATGAAGCGGCAGGAAGTCAGAAAAGTTCATCATCATTCACAAAGCGGAACTAAAAGTTTTAGGGTTAAGAGAGTGTATTAATCACCAGGCCTTAGTGATACATAGCTATGTGTAAAAAAAGGAAAATAGTAAAGCAGATCTTAACAGGAAGAGACACGCATTGTAAGATATCGATCCAATCCATCAACTCATCACCTTCATCCCCCAAAACCAAATCCCAAGATTATCGGCTTCTGTTGCGTCCAGACATGCTTGTGTAGCAGCTCGTTGTGCTGCCAGTCCAGCAGAAGGGGCTCCTTGCAGCAGAAGGGGGGTGCTGGACTGGCAGCAGCATTAAGAAGGCATTGCCTAGACTTTGCGCTGTTGCCGCGTAAAGACTTAGGCAACGCAGTTGGCGGCGTTGATGATGAGGAAAGAGTTGCCGGTCTTTTTTCGTCGGCACAAAAGCGAAGGTTAGCAAGGGGAACTGTTGCTGAATAGAGTGCGCTGTAGTGTGGAGTGAGAAGGAGGAAAGGCTTACGTTGGTAACATCGTCCTTGCAGCACTTGACGCTGGCACCACATTGGGAGCCGATGACACCGACAACGCAGCCGAGCGAGGCGCTGAGGTCGACGGGGATGAGGTTGAGGAGACCAGGGGAGCCGGCGGGGCCGGACATAGACTGGCAGCAGTAAGGCTTGTAGTCGTCGATGGAGCAGGTGTTGGGGCCGATGGTGGTGGCGCGGGGAACAACCTCAGCCGGGGCCGCAGCGGCGGTCATGGCAATGGCGAGGATGGTGAAGACGCTGGTGAACTGCATTTTGGCGGTTGGGGGTTTGCTGAAAGAAGCTGGGAGTTGGTTTTGAAGGTGGTTTGGAAGGTGAGTTGGAAGGTTGAGAAGATGTTGTGAAGTGAAGATGTTGATGCTGATGATGAGAAGATTAGAAGCTCTGAGGTGGACGAGAGACGAGTCTTATATACACTTTTGGACCTCGATCCAAACGCTGTGTTTGAAGACATCTTCCATCAAACTTGGCCAAGTTCTCCGGTATTCCTGCTTCTCCTTCCTCCTATCCGCCGTGGCTTGGTGTTGTTGATTCATCGACACTCGTCATTTCCAGATCTGGCATCCGGCCTGGCACTCATCCGGACCCAATCGACCCAGGCTCTTGGGGCTGCCGATCAAGAATTGTGACAACGAGATCATGCTCTGGACTCCCAATGGGAAAAGCAACGAGTATGCGGCGCAAACCTCCATTAGCTTGTTTGGAAATCTGGCCACGATAACCGACATCGTGGCTCGGAATCTGGAAAGAGCAATGACGATCCTTTCACTAGAGTACCTAATGCTGCCAGATGTCAGACATGAGGAACACCAAGTCCGGACCATATCTAGATTCAGCACTGTTCTGAACTAGTGTACACGGTTAGAAGTGCGCCAATGACGAACGTGGCTCCTCCCAGGAACGGAAATGCACATGGAGCATCATCAGTGTTTCCATTGATACTGAGCAGTGGAATCTCAGCTAAGGGATTGTCGGAATTGGGTACCAGTCTCGTAGGAAGTAATGCAACCCAGTATCTAGAGATCTGAGCCGCCAGACGCAGGGAGGTTGCAAGGTACCTGTAGATTGATGGCACGATGGCACCCATTTCCAGCGGGAATACAGCTTCCAAGTCCATTGGAGTCTGGACTCTGGGGCACCAGAGAGTGGACATCTAGCAAGCTGGGTTGCGATCTTCATGGTAATCTTGAACATCAGTAGATGCCAAGGCGGTAATGGGGGACCAGATGTTTGCTGGCAGCCCGCTACCGTACCTTCGACTCGGGAAGTAGCTTTACCGACGGACAAGGGGTTGGGAAATGCATCGTCACATAGCAACCACGAGACTCGGTTGCCAAGTGCAAGTCAAAGACATCAATCCACGACCAACGGTGTTAACCCCGGCGGTGAGATTCGCGAGATGGCGACCTGCAGCTCGGAAAAGTAGCCAATGGTCAGCATGCTAGCATCATCCTACTATCCAAGTGTTGAACATAGCGGGTTCGGGCTGAAATCGACCCGAGGAGCAGCATGGGCAGCAGCATGGGCTAGTGTAGAGGAGGAGCAGACTGCCTTACCTGCTTCAACTGTCAGTAGTGAATGGGAGTTGATCATCATTTCCCCACCGCGAATACTGTGTAGAAGGGTGAACATGCAGAAAGCAAGAATTACCTAGGTACTGAGTTGTACAATGGCAAGTGCAGTTATTCGGGCAAAGATCGAAGCTACTGTACTATGTAAGCGCACGCTTAGCGTGAAACTCCTGTCTTTGAAACTGTTTCACTTCATTGATACTGACAGACTGGTAACGAATTTGCGGGTTTATGAGTATGGCCGGAGGAAACTTCCGGGCAGGAGAAAAGGTCCAGTCGGTTACAAGGATGGCTTAGCTTGCACGCGATGATTTACGATGTCAGGTGGCATTAGCTGCATTACCCCATATTTACTTGTGGGGATGCGGTTAAGGTTTAATGCCACCAGAGGTGTACACCGCTGCATGGAATTCCTAGGCGCTAGTAATGCTACAGAAAATCATGATTTCATGATGACTAAAGTGCTTATTTCTTGTACATACTGGCACCCGACCTTTGAAATGGCCACCTCCAGAGATCGCCCAGTTCACGAGGTGCCCTTTTACACCTCTGCCAGCATCAAACTTGTTAGCGCGATGATTTGCAAGTGGCAATAACTCTAATTTCGCACAGAAAATGGCTGGTTTGACTACATCTCATCCCCTGAATACTGTCAGGTGGTGATACCACACTAACGTCAGTCTTACGAAGTCATACGTACCATATGTTTTAATCTTCTTAATTACCCTAATTCCTTTTTCAACCTCCTCCTTGAATTCGTTGACGAAACTCATTCAGAAAAGTGCCTGGTCCGTCTCCGTTTGGAGTCAGAGCTTGCAAAGCGTGATAGTATGGATGAAAATGGAATACAGAAGCACACTGACATCACAGCAATGAGAGCCTCAGACAATACCTGGTACGTAACGGTTTTAACGTTTTCGGGATCGGGTAACGCAACCGTTCGTGTTTTCAGCCGCTCCAGTTCCAGCCACGTAACTGCAGCGTACCGCCTCTTGGTTGCGCACCCGGATGGGCGATGAGGAATTCCCCCGTGCCATTCGTCAGGAGCAATGTTTCCTCCCGTGGGTGACAGCAGCCGTCGCAGCTGCCAATGCCACGGAACTGCATAACTGTGTAACTCTCGTACCTTGATTGTCTGGCCTGTATTCCACGCGCCCGGGTCAAGTTGTCCTTCATCAGATCCGTCCTCACTACTTTTTCTCTTGACAATGTCTTTGCTCAAAAGAGAGGGCATCCCCAGATTTACGTTGCCAGGGGCATCCAATCACAAGCTGCACCCCCCTGTAGTGTACATAGTAGCCAGGACCACGGACAAATGGTCCGGCACGGAGCTAACAGTGTCCATGTCGCTGGTGCAACCAATTATAATGGCCCTCTCCTCTTTTCTTTTTTTCTTCAATTGTCTGATCCCCCATTCTTCATGTGGACAAGATCAACCTTGATCGATCTGTTGGCAGAGATCGATCTCGATCTTGGATGCGACCTCGAATTGACACCGTGTTTGCCTAGACCCTTCTTGGCCTAATGCTTGGAACACATCCATCTCTTATTCCCAACAGAAAATGTTCGTCCATAAACTGCATAACTTTATGCACTCTTTCAATAAGGCGGTCTATGGAGCCAAGGATCGACGACGCAAAACCGGACATACAGTCCTGAACATGGCAACCAACCAATCCGGGGGGACGTCCTGTGAAACGTGCCAAACCTCCAAAAGTCATACGACGGTGCATACAATTATGATCGTCAGGGTCGCACGGCATTCAGACAGTATCCGATTGCGCCGTTTGTCCTTTTAGCGGGACGCACCAAACAGCAACAACACTTTACACTACTGTGTAGAAGCCTGATGCAGACGCACGCCACGAATCCGTTTCTGTCTAGGTCGTTCATGATCATAGCCCTTTACGGCTTGTTTGCCAGCCCAAGTCCTTGGAAATGTTGCAAGACGAGATTCCGATGGCAACATCTTTTCCGGGCTTCTTGTTTGTGGTCAATTTCACCTTGATAGACTCTGCGAATGAAGGAAGCAGAAATTGTGTTGATGGATGACTGAGCGAGCACTTCCACTGTTATGCTGCCAAGAACAGTCCGGAAACAAGGGGCAACGCTTCACATTGAACTTTTCCGTCCACCTGAAGGCGCAGTTGGGCTCAGCTGGAAATTGGGCAAGACCTGTTTGTCCATTACAGAAGTCTCGAGCTGAATGTTGTCATCCGCTCTCAACCTAACTCTGCGTTGTTCGGATCGCCGCGTTGTGGTCTGTAAGTACATGATACGCTGTTGTCACCGCAGGTAGTGGGTCTTATGCGAACATACTTAGTCTTGGAGTCCTGACGGTACGTATCATTGGCCCGACAGGCGGTATAGGAAAAAAGAAGAAAAAAGGTCTGGACACGCTTATAGACTCCCAAACCAAACCCAGCGAGTGTCCGAGCTTTTTTTCACACCACTTCCTCGACCAGATGTTGTCTTACACTTTCACAACAGAGAGCAATTGCCCCACCAGCTGTTTTCGTTGCCTGTTTCGGACAAAGCATCCGACAAGACACTGAACAACTAGATCCCCTTCCCCCGATGGAGACGCTGATCGTTTTTTGGTGTGTAGGGGAGTGAACATCACGCGGACAATGGACTTGTAGCTCCTGAATCGCCCTCCCCAATCGTGTATATACCTGCCACAAAGTCCTCCATTCAAGCCTTCACTACCCGCTCCGTCAGCAACGGGCAAGCATCATGAGACTGACAAGCTATAGCCACACGACTCCTCGGCTGAAAGGTCTATTCGCTCGCGTTACTCCCGTCTTGTCGAGCCATGGCTGTTGCATGATCATTTTGGGAAAAGTATGTCGTTCATGATCATGAGCCACCCACCCACTTACACACGATGCGTCGTCACGCCGGCCGTTCTCCAGACCAAGAAGCCTGGGATGCTGATCAAGTTTTCCTGCGTGCGGTGGTGCATCGGACGGGTCGGAATCTCGTTCAGCCTCCAAGCCTCGCTCAAGGTAAAGAAGGCAGGAGCTTCGGGAGGTTGTCGCCTCGAAATCCGAGGGGCCCGGCATGTTGAAGGCCGTGACAGGGCATGTTCAACCAGGAATTGGATAGAGTTCAATATTTTGGTCCCCAATAGATAATTCCGGCGCGTAAACTCCCTAACGCTCACCCTCCGCCTCAGCCGTTCGTTTTCTCCATGTCGGGAAAGACCTTCATCAGCTGCACATGACTGTCCGTTTCAAGACAATAGTTTTGAATCGTCAACGTCATAGTATCTCTCGCCAAGTTAGCGGTTGAGGTTGCACATGACGGCAATGCTCGTTACCAGATGAGCTAGGTTCTAGTTGTTGTATTTTCTTTCTCAAGCCTCGAGGGAGCGGCAATGTAGTAGGCGAGAGAACATTTGGTTCGTTTTGCAGACGTGTTGAGGTGAGGCGTAAAAGGAGGGAAAGCGGGCGGCGGCCGCAGGCGCAGGCGCGTGCCCGTAAGTATGAACAAAGGGATATCGGAAGAAGACCAGGTTCAGTTGTGTTGTTGGCGGGACTGGTCGCTCAACTCAATGCCATCCGAAATCTTGCCTCTTCGCAAACAACTGAAATGAGGCCCAAAGCATCAATGTGAGAATAGAGATTCATATCTTCCCAATCCCAATGAAGTTAGTGGTTCTCCCTTCTTTCCTTCCACAAAGGACGCAGGAAGCAAGTGGTTAAAAGTGGAGAGCTGCAAGGCACCAATCACCACTCTCCACTCTGCCAAGCAAGGACATCCTTCAGGTTTGCAAGCGCCAGCAGGACCACGTCACTTTACTCCACCATAGGTGGCTGTGCCTGGTTCCCTTGTCCAACTTGCCCAATGCTCTGTCGGCTTGCCCACAAGTTTTCGAGATTTTCTTTTTTTTTCTACCCCTTCATAAATTCACCTGCTGGACCAATTACCAACAACCAATTACGACAGCTGAGCAACAGTTGTACATCTTCCGTAGTATAGTGGTCAGTATGTGAGCTTGTCAAGCTTGAACATCAGTTCGATTCGCTCGAGACCCGGGTTCAATTCCCGGCGGGAGAGACCATGTTCTTTTTTTTGGCACCTTCCTCGCTCGTTCACTTTTTTCTGGTATTGTCTTCTTCGTAGCTGGGTATGCTCACTTGCAAGATTGATGTTTTGATTACGATGCTTCTTGTTTTGTACCTGCTATATGTTTTTGAAGGTGAAATGCAATGTGATTTTTAGTTAGCAAGTTGTTTTACAAAAACATACATGTACACTTCAGTCAGTCTCGTGAACAGAATAGTAAAATCGTAAAGTCAACAACTTTAAAAGTTTGGTACTATAATAGACATCTAGCTTTGATAGCAATGACGAGTGCATGACAACAGTTTGGAAAACCAATTACAGAAATGCGCAAAAGCATCAAGAATAAAGTGACCTTTGAAGTATGAAACTTTGAGAGTTCACATAATCATATCCATTGTAAGGTAGGTTCTGGGTCATACCCAGACACAATTGACAAAGGCTACGTGCCTCCAGCTGAGATATCCCCTTCCTTTCTTCTTCTTATTATAGCTTTGTCATGCTGCACTTGAGAAAAACTGTCTCTGGATTTCTTGTTCATCTCCAAGTAGATATATCACAACGGTCATACTTAGTATCAATGACGGACGATCTGAACAATGTTCGTCCTGATCAACCTATTGTAGCTGGCTAAAATGTCTATGCTGGCGATACTCTCTTGATCAACACCATGAATGGATGCATGTAGCTGAATTGTCAGGGAACGAGCCAACACCACGTCGACCCCAAGGATCAAGAATACTCGCAATTTCTACACTGTTTTCGCTTTGTGAAAGCGCGATTCTACGAGCATAAGACAACAAGACTAGAAGCCATAGATCAAGGTAATATCAAAGTGTAAGGAAGGAGAACGAAGGCATCACGGATCTGGTCAGACAGATATAAGTCAGATCTGCCACTCGTCGCCGCCTTCCTGTTACGTACAGTCTATCGGTCTATCGATAAGATGGAAGATAATGCCTAATTATCGATAAGGATAAGAACCATCCGAGGTCCATAGAGGTAGGTATCATAAATGTTCCATCCCATTGGCCAGTGGCCGGTCCGCCGGTAACCCATGTAACCCATCCAGCCATGCCACGACAGCACAGCGTTTAGCGGCGGACTAATATCAAAAAGACATCATTCATCCTTCTCTACTATAATTCCCGAATACCTTATGTGAATCACCGATTCACGCGTTGCTTTTCATTCACGAGCGGCTTCCTAACTATAGGATCACCTGTACACAAGTAAAACCTCCTAATGGGGAAAAGGCGGAAAAAACATCATCGACTGACCATAGCCGTTACCATGCCCATTATGAACGCCTGGATAACAGCTATGAGGAGCAGGAGCGAGTCCGAGAGGAATCATGCCTCAACGTCTCACCTCGTTGGTGACGACACGCCCAACGCACGACTGAACGAGATCATACAGAACCTTGGGATCTCTGTTCCATCTGTCCCAACCATTGCAAATGAGAGTGGTGATGATATCCCTGTTCTTGAGCGTGGACAATTAAAATCTTCATAGCGATGGCGCGCTGGATAAACCCCGTCTCGTAGACGTCGGGCTGGACTTCTTTGTCGGGTTCAGCGATGGTGTCGAAGACATTAATCGATGAAGCCGAGGCAGTCGAGTTCGACCATGAGGCGGTGTCTCCAATCATCAAAGTTGTGCTCGCCCTCGAGGTTGATGAGGCAGGATATAGTGAAAGACATGTCGGCGGTAGTGATGAGGGTACATCGGGCACGGCACAGAGCATGTGACTCTGGCTGCCCAGATGCCTGCCCGGGACCCAACGATACCTTTGATTGCGGTTGGGACGGGACGAGGGACAAATTTTGAGATATATTTACCTTCTCCAACGTCCCGCCTTCTGGTCTTGAAGTCAGGCGAACGAACCAACGTCGAAAACCTTTGTTTCCTCCCGGCCAGTCGCGTGAATTACCATCTCGTGAATCATGACCGTCTTTGCGGTGAGTATTAGACGCTCGCAAGCAGCTTGTGATCAACTGCTTAACCGCTGGCTGTGAGAATATGTGACTATAATTTGTATAAAGATGCGCAAGGCTTCAGCGTTCGAGGTCCGAATATCTACAATCCTACAGGTCAACGATCACCATACGTCTGAATAACACCATCACCCAATAACCACAAAGACAACCTCCACCACAGTCTTTACCACAACCCCACTCCAACAACAACCCCAAGCAAATCTCAAAGACACCACACAAGAATGTGTCTCTACTTCCCCTACCCCGGTGTCTTTGCCTGCGGATGCGATCTCGACCCCGGCTTCGTCGCCTTTTGCAACTACAACTGCCACCCCTCCCAACGTCAACGAGCCCCCTTATCTAGGGACGCGTATGGACAATTGTTCCACAGCTTTGGCGAGATGTGTCCCCAGTGTTATCGGGATGGGTGGGTTTATGATATGGGAAGAGGGTGGGTAAGGAGGTTGGCACCTAAGTTGTAGGTACCCCTTCGGCCCGCTAAGGAGATAATGGCTGGGAGATGAGAGAAGTGGGAAGTTTCTGGCGGAGCTGGGGAGGAGGAGAGAGGTTGAGGGAATGAAGGATATGGAGTAGTGAGGTGGATGGATGGAAGGTTGGTTGGGTGAAGGTTTTGCTTCACACCGAGAGAGTGGCTGCAGAGAGGACTGGATATGGCTGAGGGGGTCACCTTACTATAAGGTACCCGCCGGAATGGGAGCTTGGGTGGAAGTAACTGGATACTGAAATGGAGAAAGATGACCGCTAGCGGCACCAACAGGCATTGTGAGAACAAAAGGAACGGGTAGCCAAACGAACGGACAGGTATCGTGAAGGACTCGCGGCATAAGCTACCAGTAGTGTTCTCGGTACGTATCGCCAAGGTCTTCTGATGTTGCTGAACTTTACCGACGAAACTGAAGGAAACCTGGTCTTGAGTCTGCGTCAGAAGGTGTCCTCACAGCCAGCAAGACGTGAAGTGAAGTGAGGTAGCCACGCTAGCGAAATGCTCAACTCGACAAAGTTCCGAACGTGAGTTTGATCCTCCACCTTGTCAGCGCGGCAACTAGACGCGACCCCGCGGGTTGGATGTTGGGAAGGGTGACCGGAATTGAGACGTGGTCTGACAACAACATGCACGACACTTGCCGTGTGACAACGAAGACAGGTCATAAATTGTCAGCGATGGGTTCAAAGGGTTGGCCACGAGGAATTCGCCATGTGTCTTCAGTAATCAGTAAGGCGATTTCGCCAGTACTTGTGCTGACCCGTGGACGGCACCGATGTTCGGTTCGGCTCACTTCCGTAAGGCTGAGAAGGAACCGTGCCGCCACTGTTATTGATCCAACCGCAAGTTACGGCAGCACACCCAAAATCGAGCCGTCTTACCCCAGAAGCGTGGCAGCCCGCCAGACCAAGCCACCGAAATGGGCTGTGGCATATATCTGCCAAAATGTGGTAGTGCTGTGAGGATAAACTTGGCACTCTCGGCCAGAAGACGAGTTGTTCCAGAAAGGTGGCCGATGAACATGATCAGGGGCAATTTCGCCTCGAACGATAACAGTGAAAAAGGGGGAGAAAGCAAAGAAAAAACTAGCACCCAATAGCTCCGAAGTGTGCACCCTTTGGAACAGACAGAGAGAAATCCTGAGAATACTGTGGAACAAGCCCCCAATCGACCCCCGGATTTGGCAGGTGATGGAGACAAGTTAACAGCCATGCCACAGATGAACAAACGTGGTGACACAAGGCCCATTGTGGTCAGCAATCCACGCGGTTGCGCTTAGCTCCCTCAAGCCCAAGCCAATCGGAAGACGAGATGGTGATATGCATTGCGCTTATGTGTGTAAGATGGCGGCCTGAAATACAACCCAGCCAAGTCGCACGGCAGAGTTTTTGAGGTCGACTTTCCCTTTCTGCTCATCCAAGGGTTGCAGTGAGCCGGTAGGGCTGTAAGACGCATGCGCATGGTTCGAACCATGGCGCCCTCAAACAACAGGTAGAAACCTTGGGTTCCCAATCAGGTAAAGCTCGTGGGCAAACTGGCTTTCCGATGGTGTAGGTGTTTTGTCGATGATTAGCCGAGTGGCCGCGTGTTTTGCGGGCAGAACAGCAGTAGCGCTAGGTATATCCAGATCCACGTTGAAACGCACACCTATTGCCGATGAACAAGACAAGTTGGCTATATGGCTGTTGTCAGAATGGAAGCTGAGTTCAAATTCCGCCAATTGTACTACTCGATCCAGCATCCAGTCCGAGGTACGCCATTTGAGGCATGGTTTGGTGTAGAGAGATGGGGGCCTCACGAGCCCCAGTGCGTTCTTTCTGGTAGGGGGATCGTCGACATCTATTGTCATCCAGGGTCTTCCGGATTCGATGCAGAAAGTAGCTGCCTTGACAAACAGATAAAAGCCACGCTGCCTGAGTTGTCAGCGCTCAACACAGGGAGGTCGGTCCCCTTTACCTCAACTCAACATTCGCAGAGAAATATTATTGACATTTCGCTCACAATGCCCAACAGCAAGCAGTAAGGCTGATATCTTTCATGACAAGTCTCGCTGATGATGACTGACATGACCTCGACAGAAGCAGCTCGTCTGCTGGAAAATCGGATGAGTACGGGAGGAATGCCCGACTCGAAATGTTCCAGATAGAAGAGAGACAGGAGGGCAATATTCTTGTGCGGGTGCCACACAGACCTCGGAAACCGCGGGAGACTCGGCGGACTATGGCGAGGGAGATTCGACGCATCATGGAGCCCTTTGATGTGCCCAGGTAGTAAGGGATGATGGTTCCTTTTCGAATGGCTGAGGTTTGAATAACATGGGTGTCGAAGCTTGCAAATTTGCCTGGTATAATCTGCGTTCGCTCATGGTGGGAGGATGGGAGGCAACCTGGCCGATAGACGACGGTATGTCCAGCAGACCGCGTTGTTCATAACAGGGTTGAACACCACGTTCGAAATGCGACACTCAAGTTGAAATCCTTCAGCAATTGACGTCGGCGATCCTCTTGTGCCTTGTTTTGTTGTTGCCGACTGGAAGCTTGACATGGCCTGCGCTGACGAGTTCACCTCCAGCTCCGCGCCCATGTAGGGTTCATGAAAATCGAAATGAGAATATTGACTTATCGACAAGAAGTGGTTTAAGGCCGCGTGAAGTCGGATGGCATTGAAGCTCCAAAATACGAGTTGGAGACGGAGTTCATCTGTTGTTGTTGTTGTTGTTGCGGACACTGCAGGGAAGAAAATGTAAGCCTAAAGCTGGAAGGCACTTTGTTGGACACTTTCAATTTCGAGGCTGCCTGAATTTGGACCAATATCTCTGCCCGGTCGGTGCCTTGCGCCTTCCCTCAAGACTGCCAACTTCAGGGTGATTCGGTGAGGATAGGTAATGATGACATCCGGGGAAGGAACAGAGGACCGGACTCAACACTGAGGTGGTGGACAGTAGGTAGGTTACCGCCTTCTATATGTTCATGGTGTGTTTGTCGGTGTAGCCTCTTCCCGTTCCCTGACTTTGCTGCTTGTACTGTGTTTTACATGCGGACGGCAATGGATGAGGTGCGACGTCAATGATGTGCTACAAAAAAGGCATTTGACGAGATGGTGGTGTAGCGGGATGACGGCTATTGTCAACATCCTTGGTCCAAAATGCGGAGATCTGGCGGTGATGGTGATCCATGTCTTTGGCGGTTTGGATGAAACATTGAAACACGGGGAGTTGTTTGTTCAGCAGGGCTGTGGGGGACAAGAGCCCCAGGGTCGTGTTGAGTCGCGTGAGACGGATCACATGGGCTACAGGTTAATCACAGCTATGGTTGGCTTGGACAGGGTTTACCAACAATGAGAATGGATAATTTGTAGCGTACCCCCTGTTATCGGCCGCTCTTACCCCTGTCCAGGGAAGGGCACGGTTACCCCTCAGGATCCCCTGCCCTATTCTTGCCATGTGCTCACTTTCAGGCGCTCCTCTCAGCTAAGCGGATATCATGTGCTGTTACCGCGCCCAGCCATCACTAACAGTAACAGCCTGAGTATTACAAGCTAAGGTATTAGTACAATCTGCTTGAACCAACAGTGATGGCGAAATGCAAAACAAGGGAAGCGAGGTCAGGAGCCCACCACAGCGGCTGGCAGCCCAACTGGAGCCGTTGCCGGGCATGGCCTGCGCCTCCACTTTGGCTTCCATTTGGCGATACAAGTTCCAATCCACTGCAATTATAGTGTAGTCCCCGACTTGTCAGAGACACCACCAACGACGGGACATCCGTCCTCAACGCAGTTCCATAGTATTTGTCCATCAACAAACACAACTTACCTCCCGCATTCTCAAAAGCTTGTTTCTAGACAAGACACCTACTACTGTCCGCCACCATATCCTGATGCGCCGCCCTGATTGAGACGGCCAGCAACATCAGTCGTCGCCAGCATCTTGAAGGGCTTTTTGTCATCCCGTCAAACCGATTCACTATCTCTTTATTTGAAGCGACCAAGACCCTGTCGCCAAACGCCCCCGGCCCGGTCTAGACGTAGCTCCCGCCATCTACGCGCCGTCGAATCTCCCATCTCTGCCCAACATCTGCTAGAGGTGCCGACCCGACAACACAAGCCATCCCGCCCGAGGTGATCTCCTTTTTGCGACACGACCATTTGCCCTGAACATCACAAGCTCTCTCACATCCATCAGACAGCAAGGCAGCGCAGCACATGATGAATGTCCCGGGTCCCGGCCGCCCCATGCAGCGACGCCCCCCCGCCCCGGGCACCGAACCCGGTGGTGGTGGTGGTGGTGGTGGTGGTCCGCCTCCCAACATGCCGGCCCGCTCGATATCGCCTGCCGTTGGGATGGGAGGACATATGGGTCCCCAAGCTGGCATGTCGAGGTCTTCAGCTGGCTCAAGTCGCTCAGTTCAAGGTCCCGGCGGCGGCCCCGGCGGCGGTGGGAGCACAAGGCGAAACAATGTGAGTAATCATCTTCCCGCCTTGGCTTCCTTTACTGTTGTTACCATCGGCCTGTTTTGCGGCCCCCCCTTCTCTCGAGTCTTTCCATCTACATGCGCGCGTCATGATACCTCCCTCCTCTCCTCTGTTCCAATCCTCCTCTGCCGTTTGCCAGCTCGCCGCTAACCATGGCATCTGACAACAGTCATCTGGCGGCTCGTCATCCGTCCCGCTATCGCAAATCGAAAGGAGCGTCACACATCTACTTGTGGCCACCAAGCAACTGCTCGAAACCCTGACACAATGGTCCCGTGGAAATGCAACCGATACCCAGGTCTCCGACGTCTACGTACGGCTGGGCTATGAGTTTAATATGGCCTGCCGAGCCTTTACTGCCATCAATGTCGATATCGACGACTTGGGCAACGTACCCGAGATGTTGCGCACCATCCTGGAGGCCACTCTAAGTCAGGAAGCCAGCGCTGAAAGTCTCGAGAAATACCTGCCAAAGATACGTGATATTATCATAAATCTGCTGCATGGTTTAAAGAGAAAACAGCAAAAGCTAAGGCATCGCCAGCAACGGGATAGAGAGCCGAGTATCGCAGGAGACGATGGAGGCCATGGTCCAAGTCGCGGACCTGGGCCCAGTAGCAGTGGCGTGCCCACCAGAACTACAAGCACTAGTACCATGGCTAGTGTTAATTCTGGGCTCACCAACATGTTGAACGAAGGGCTGGAGAGCAATGGCTACCGACCGGACTCTCTCAGGGATGATTCTCGGAATTCTGGTCCCACAACGGCATCACCCACCAGACGTTTTCCCACGCAACGGGACCAATCTCGCGGCTCTGTCACCTCTGACCAGTCCAGCCTGTCGAGCAACACGATGCAAAACATACCCGTTCTGGCGCCTTACCCAGGTGAAGAGACAATTCCAACGGGCCCACCGGCACCCCCGGAAATCAGCGTCGACAACTTCCCTCCGCCGCCGCCGCCGCCCAAGGAATCGGGACAGAGCGCCTTGGCGGCTCTCCAAAAAGGAGGTAATCTGGAAAGACGAGCTTCCCGCAGATATGATGCATACCAGATTTCCAAGTACCTTGGCACTATGGTCCCACCCCAGACAACGCCGATACCTGATAGGAACCGGGGCGATTTCAGAGAGTCGCTGCGGGCGATGCAATCAAGGGGAAACCCCCGCCACAGCCGCAATATTTCGAGCCAGTCCCAACGTACCATTGGCCTCGATTCCTCTCCCGTTCGAGTTCCCAGCCGGGTTCCTGAAGAGCCTGAAACCGCCGATTCGTATACATTCAGCAAGGCCGACAACTTGAATGTCCAGGCGCCAGATGACAAGTATCCTACTCCAAGCGCTACTCTTAATGGCCCGCTCGCAGATCCTATCCCGATGGTGGATGAGGTAGACTCGTCTAAGCCCGCTGCTACGAGGCCTGCTCCTGCGCCTGCCGCTCCTCAGCATCAACACAAGCCGTCCATTCGCGCCCCGACGCCCGATAAACAACCGCCTAGCTCGTTTATGCTTGAGAACTCGCCCCCCGCAACCAAGGAACTGACCCTCTTCCTGCAGTACAAGTCCAAGGTCAAGAAGTTCGTGCTCCCTGAGGGCTACGATGATCTGTCTATCGCTCGTCTTCAACTGGCTTTTATCGAGAAGTTCTCGTGGAACACACAGCAGAATGGAGCGGATCTACCGGAAATTTACATTCAAGACCCCGTCTCCGGTGTCCGCCATGAGCTCGAGGATCTGTCAGATATCAAGGACCGTACAGTACTTGTGTTGAATGTAGAGGCTTTGGATGAAGTCAAGAAGCATATTGACAAGAGCATTGGGTCCCTCAAGACCATCATCCAGCAGGTTAAACAAAATGTCGACGATCAAAACGCCACCATTCAACGTGTGTCGGAGCGCCAACAGGAGACCGCCAAGGATCTCGCTCGCATTGCCGCCACGCCACCTCCCACTATCATCGCACCGAGTGGTATGGACTCGATGGCTTCGCCACGTTCTTCGTCTTCCTCTGTCGCGGGTGCTGCTGCCCTTGCTGGTCCCTCGTCCAAGAAGCTCAGCCCAAGCCAGCTTACCGAGATCCAATCCCTTCGTCGCGACCTCGCCGTTCTTCGCCAGACCTACTCCAACTTCCAGTCCGAAGTCCAAGGGTCCATGACTGCTCTTCGCAACAAGGCCAACAATGTCAAGACCGCCGCCGCCAAGTTGTCCGTTCCCGATGGGGAAGGCGACTCGGGTCGCGCTTACGTCACCAAGGGTCGTAAACTGCTCAATGCCGATAGTGACTGGCTTGTCAACAAGGTAGACGACCTGCAAGATCTCATTGAGGACCTCCGCAAGGACGTTGTCCACCGCGGCGTCCGCCCACGCCCCAACCAGCTCGAGTCCGTCACCAAGGACATCACCACGCTCACCAAGGAGCTCAAGAAGATGGAAGAGTTTATGAAGAAGGAGAAACCCATCTGGACCAAGATCTGGGAAAAGGAGCTCGAAGAGGTCTGCCAAGGTCGCGACGAGTTGCGCCTCATGGAAGATCTGATGATCGACTTGCGCGACGACTTGGAGAAGGCCAGCGAAACCTTTGCGCTTGTCGAGCAGGCAACCAAGGAGCAGATGAAAGAGGGCGGACAGGGCAATACGGTTAACGGCTCGGTGTCCAACGGCCCCACGCCCTTTGGCGCCTTTAGTCGCGGGCTGAAGAGCATCTCGGAGAAGGTGACGCATGCGGATCCTAGCGAGGCCAAGGAGGGCGTTCTGGGCGAGGTGCGCGCCTTGCAGCCGAATCATCAGAGCCGATTGGAGGCGATTGAGAGGGCGGAGAAGCTGAGGCAGAAGGAGTTGCAGACCAGGATGGTCAACCCGCTTACGAAGGAGCTGGCCTCTTTTGTGGAGGAGGGGAAGCTGAAGAAGAGTGGTGGTGTCGAGGAGGTGGAGAGGGCGCGGAAGGCCAAGGATGATAGGATCAGACGGGAGGTTTGGGAGCGCATGAATGGCCTTATTGCGGAGAATGATGATGGTGAGGACGAGGAGGATGACGAAGAAGAGGAGGAGGAAGAGGAGGAAGAGGAGGGAGAGGAGGCGGAGGAGGAGGAGGAGGAGGAAGGAGAGGAGCAGGAAGAAGGAGAAGAGGGCGAGGAAAAAGCGAGTGGCTCTGCTAAGGAGTCTGTCGATGGAGAGGAGGATAAGGGGGAGGCGAAGGAGAAGAACAAGGAGAACGTCAAGGTTGAAGAGAAGTTAGATGCGGATGAGGGCGAGGAGGAAAGCAAGGTGAAGGCCGAAGCCGCGAAAGAGCCTGGTGCAACTCCTTGAGGAGAGCCAGTTTACCGGGGTCTGAGTACGTGGTGATGTCCGCGCCTACACAAGTGGTGGGTGAAGTAAGGGCTGTTGGAAATAACAATACATCAGTACATATAATTTCCTGTTCACGGGCTCGATGAAGATTTGAGTAGTCTACAAGAGAAGAGAGAAAGGGGAGAGAGAGAGAGAACGTCAGGAGGCACGGAAATCTTATACCCCCCCCCTTTTTTGGTCTAAACAATCATGTTTGACTTTTGTTATAGTAACCAATTGAATAGTTTAGGTACCCAAGTCCAAGGTGCTTTGGTGTCGTCATTTCTGAACTGGTGATTATATTTCACTGGATATCACAAACCTAATATTTGCAACGTAACTTGGGAAACTATCATGGCCTCTCCTCCGCCTGTTTTTCGACCATACATATACGTAGTAGACCTACGTCCCAATTCCAGACAACTGGATGTGTACTTATTCCCTCAAGTCTAAACCCAACTACCCAAGTTACTATGTAAAAAAAACACGGGCACCCGCCTGCTCCCATCCATGGCCTGTTCCTTCCCCTTCCCCTTCCCTTCCCCTTCGTTCCGACATTCTGCCTGGAAGAGGAGGGGGGGGGGATTAGCTTTCCGGCACCTCACTAGGTTCCCTCCCAGTTCCCGTTCCTGCCCCCCCCCTCGAGGCCCCTTAGCGGGTATTTCCCCGCACCGCGGCACCAGCCGCACCACATCCGACAGCCCACAGCGCTTTCCTCGGGAACTAGGGAGTAGGGACTACCTAGGTACCTCTAGGGACTGGGGCTGGGGAAGGGTGAGACATGCATTGCATACCTACCTACATGCATGCACGCATGTTTGGTTTGGGGTAGACTAGGCTGGACTAGGTAGACTTCTGCTAGACTAGATAAACTAAACGACCCCTCTCTTGCTTGGAAGTTGTCGTTCGTTTCGTTCGTTCTTCGTCCATTCACGACGACATCTTGGTGCGGTGTTCGAATCCGTGTGGAAACACAAGCGACGCAACAGACAACCGACGGCACTCGACGGTAAGTAACGAGGTGGTCAACGAGCTAAGTTAATACTCTCTCTTACTCGTCGGGTCGGTGTGAAGTTGAAGTTTTCTGTGTTAGCGATAGGCTGGATAGACGATGAGTATACTCATTGACGGGATTGCTGCTGTCGGTCGGTCGGTCGGTGGCGATCAATGGGTTCAATGGCGGGTTACTGGCGGGAGGAGGTGGGAGGTGTGAAGATCTGCAAGCAAGTGTGTGACGGGCGAGGGCACGGATACATTAGGCTGTGTGTGTTTCGTTTCTTTTTCTCAGCCGGGAGACGGCAGATGGGAGACGGGAGAAGTTGGGGTTATAAAGACTTGTGAGCCTCCGGACCAGACACTGACTGTTCATTAGCAGTCTCTCATCAGGTCGGCACTCATTCGCCTTTCCTTTGAAAAGAACCACACACCAAAAAGCAGTACTCAACAAACACCCACTCACCATGGCACCCACCTACAACTTCGAAAACACCATTCAAAAGGCCATCGACGACGGAATTGTCCCTGGTGTAGTCCTCTACGCCCGCAACAAAGATGGTCCGTCCTTTCCTCCTCTCTTCTCTTGCTTCCCTTTCCTTCGTTCTCCGTCACCGTCCGCGACTCATTCTAACTAACACCTCGACAGGAACCCTCAACTACTCCCACGCCGCCGGCTATGCTTCCCTCTGCCCCTCCAACCCGCGCCCCATGACAACGCATACCATCCTCGCCCTAGCTTCCATGACCAAACTCCTAACATCCATCTCCGTCCTCCAACTTCTCGACTCTTCCTCCTACCGTGACTCATTTCCCCTTGGCCTCGACACTCCCGTCACCGACCCCTCCTACCCTAAAACTTACCTCCCCGACCTTGCTTCGTTGCCTATTTTGTCTCCAACAACCACCGACCCCTTCGCCACCCGCTCCCGCACAAAGCATATAACAGTCAGACACCTGCTCACCCACTCCTCCGGGTGCGGGTACACCTTCCTCCACCCCTCCCTCATCGCCTGGAATGAATGGAAGTTGAAGCAGCAAGGCAAAATCCCCCATTTGCCGATAGCAACAGCCTTTGCGCAGACGGTTCCCGAACAGTTTTCCTGTCCGCTTTTGTTTGAACCGGGCGAAGGGTGGGCGTACGGGTGCGGGATAGATTGGGTCGGGTGGATGCTCGAAAAAGTGAGTGGTATGAGTTTGGATGATTGGCTGCAAGAGAATTTGGTAAAGAAGTTGGGATTGGAAAAGGGCAAGGTGACGTTCTATCCCGAGAGGGTGTGGCCGACTGAGGGAGAAGAGGGGAAGAGGGAACGAGTGGCGGAGATGGGGAAGAGAGAGGAAGGGAATGGGGTGGGGACGGCGGGAGGTGGAGGACATGCAAGAAAGACCAAACACGTTGATACGCCGCAGCTGATGAAGCCGGCTGATCGAGGGGCGTTTGGTGGGCAGGGAGCGTTTGCGGATTTGGGGGCTTTTTGTGAGGTGGTGCATTCATTGTTGATGGATGATGAACGACTCCTGAAGAAGGAGACGGCGCAGTTGCTTTTCGAGGGGCAGTTGAAGGAGGAAAAGACGAAGCAAGCTATAAATGAGGATATGAAGACGCCTGAGTGGGTGGTGGGTTATGTAGAGGTGCCAGCCAAGGCAAAGGGATTAGTATATGGTTGGAGTGCGGGTGGACTGCACGTTGTTGAACCGGGGAAGGCAGACCAAAGTGGCAGGTGGAGGAGGAAGGGGTATCTGGGGTGGGGAGGGGTATTCAACTTGAATTGGGTAAGTCTGGAGTTTTCATTTGTTTTCTTGATTTGAACCATGACGAAGAGAAGTATTCGCTAACCTTGATATGTAAACACAGTTCGTCGATCGAGAGGCCGGTGTTTGTGGAGTATTTGGGGCGCAGACTTTGGACCCGTGTGACCCCTTGATTGAACCGTTGATCAAGGATTTCGAGAAGGAGATCTATGAGAAGCATGGCGCGAAGTGATCGAGATGGAGTACATGTGGCATTGTTTCTAAGGAAGAGATAAGATCACTTGCCAGAAGGTGAAATGTAGCAGTTCATGATCGAATAACAGGAAGGTCATGATAACATCGTGGTGGAGGTCGATGTGATTGTTGCAATATTTGGATTGAGGGGTGGTAGAATACCCCAGTGATAATCTCGACCATTTCCCATCAACCAGCGACTCGATCGAAAGCTATTTCACTTTCGCTCCGGCCCGCTCTCGGCCCGCTCCGGCTCGTCGAGTGTCACTTCTAGGTTCATGCGGAGCCGAGTCACACTCAACATCGTTGGCAGGGACGGCTTACGGGAAACTTGGGTAGTATCAAAAACGAATTCTTTTTTATTTTTATTTTTTTTATTTTTTTTTGGCATGACTATACTACAGGTATTTGTGGAAGAAAATGCAGTCTGATATGGTAGAGGATTAAAACTCGTTTCGGGAGACGGAATGTATCCATATACCCGGACCTTAGCGGGTTGGGTGAGCCTTTAAGCGGGGCTGCCCCGCTGCGGGAATGTTCCTAAGGGGGACAAGATCTCTGTGAATCCCCTGGGAAGGGATCTCAACAAATCCCCCCTTGTCCTTCCACTTCTCTCCTTCATCATACGAGGGCAGAATGCGACCAAATCACCGACGGTCAATGGGATTCGCAACATCTGAAGTACCACCACGAACCGTGGCTTCACAATGTGATGCTCTTCTTGCTATCCTCGGACAACCCCCATACGGGCGGCTGGCCGTCGTGTCTTGCGACGATTTTATTGGGTCAATTCGCTGAATGAATGTTGCCCGATTACAGGATCACATGTCACCCGACATCAGGGAATGAGGGGAGGCTGAGTAATACCTTATCTGAAGCAGGATTCCTTCTTCACCTGCGTTGCCCGACTGCCCAACCTCGACCGCATCTCACAACCACCCGAAGGCAAACAGCCATGTCGTCTACCTATGCACAATTTCGGACCATCTCCGTTCAAGCAACAGACTCCAGCTCATCCAAGACGATGGAAGACTCATCAGAACAACCCTCAGCCGACGCAAACAAGTTCGGGTGTCGAGGCTTCATTGCTGGCGGCGAATGGCCCGACGGAACTCTCTCAGCAGAGTCCTTGAGCCCCTGGTGGAAGCCATCCGACTCCGGTGATCCTTTGGAAGTAACTACCGGTCCTCTGCCCCAGTCCCTGTGCCGGATCTGTGGAAGTATCCCAAATGATATTGGCCGTCGTATGCTTCGTTCGATACAGGAGTTAGAGCCCGAGAAATGCGGACTCTGTCGTATACTTTTTGTGGCTTACCAGATATTTCTTCGCAATCCTCTCAAACCTGAAAAAACTACGCTCTGGGCCTGTCTTGCAAGCTCAGGTGGTGACGATGGAGTCCGAAATAAGGCAACGACTGGCAGATTGAGAACCGCAGAAGATCTACGGGGGACTTCGCTCGAACTTTGTCTTCTGACCTACAAGAAGCAATTAAGAGCATGCAGACGAATTCTCATATCATGTAATGTTCACAACACTACCATGCTAGAGCCGTGTAGAGTAAGGGTTACTAATACCAAATGCAATTGTAGGCACCGAAGATGTACCCTGTCCTTGGGGAATGACCATGCCATTCGCTAGTACCTACGCAGACTACTTTGGATGGAAAGACCAGCCGCTTGAAGTCACCAATATCGCCACGGCCTGTAGACAATACCTCGAATTTGATCTCGTCGCAAACATATCCAGGGGTCTTGACAACTGTGCCAAGTATCATGCGAAATCCTGTTGCATGTCGAATGAAGCACATCTACCTAGCCGCCTTCTAGACGTAGGACCAACGTCTGGAGTGATTCGTCTTGTGGAGACAAAGCGGTTGGGAACGGCAACTCTGACATATACCTGTCTAAGTCATTGCTGGGGAACGCAACAGCCGCTCAAAACAACCCAGCGAAACTACTCGCAGCATCTGGCGTCTATAGAATGGGACCAAATACCACAAACCTTTCAAGATGCAATCCAACTGACTCGGAATCTGGGAATCCGGTTTCTTTGGATTGATTCACTTTGCATCATACAGGACGACGACAAAGATTGGGAGCGAGAGTCAGCCGACATGTGCAACGTGTATGGAAACTCCTATCTCACTATTGCTGCAACGGCATCATCGAATTGCCATGGAGGTCTTAAGCGTTGGACTGACCGAGAGGTTTTCAAAATCACTGGCTTCACGACGGACAGATCACCTCTTCAAATATCGCTTGTTGCACTCCCCGAGGAAGGGATTTCCGATACAGATACACCGCTGCTCCACAGAGGTTGGGCTTTGCAGGAGCGGATAATGTCTCCCAGGGTAGTCCACTTCCTGCCAGCTGGCGTGGTATTGGAATGCAACGGGGGATGGTTGGCCGAGTTTCCCAAAAGACAGTTAAACCATGGAGTCGTCAATAAAATGAGTTATCACAAGTCAATCGGCTCAAACTCCATCGATACGCGGGCCAACTTGTGGAGAGATCTCATCGAGACATACACCCAGTCAGCGCTTTCTTTCGCTTCTGATAAGCTCCCTGCAATTTCCGGTCTTTCTCAGCGTATGGCAAAGCACAGAGCTGGGGCTCGTTATCTTGCAGGGCTCTGGAGCGACTCACTAAGTACAGATCTGCTCTGGGAGTTCTCACCTGATTATATCGAAAGCAAGGAATATGCCACTGCAAAAGCCAAACCCTGGCGAGCTCCTAGCTGGTCATGGGCTGCATGGGACGGGCCGGTAATATACGGCCATGGGATTGATGGTAAATTTGCTGACCTGACCTCGCAGAAAGTTCACCAACTCTTCACTTTGCGAGATGTATCAATCCTCCCGGCCACTGCTGATCCTACTGGGAAACTTTCGGCTGCATCCATGACTGTTTTCGGACAGTTGGGTGATGCATCATTTTACCTTTTTGGCGGGTGGCGTTCATACATAACCCCCGACCAGGTCAATTATTTCACTAACATACATGAGATTCAGGTGTCATATAGTGCGTCGCTGGATATCGATGATTCCGAGTACAGAAAGTCGGATAAGTCACTTCGGGATTACCTTGCTTCACGACAAATCAAGTCTTTTCGTTTGACGCGTGGAAGCTTCGAAAAGGGAAGGGTTCATATCGAATATGCACTTCTCTTGCAAAGAATTCAAGGCTCGTCAACAGACTACGTGCGTGTCGGGATAGCTAGAGAACGTCGGGAGTGGGCGACAATTGATGTCAGGGCAGTGTTTAGCCAAGATATGGCGAATATAGCAGTCGGCGACAAAGATGTCTGGGACTACAAGCCGACTTTCTTCGAAACGGGTGCCGTCGAAGAAACCATCAGAATTCTCTAGGTGGAGGTTTTTGGGAAGAGGGAAGTTGATGAGCTCGACTTATCGCCGACACTGAATTGGCATGACAATATAGCCAGTAGAACTTTTTCAGCACACAATTAACAGGAAGTAGGAAGGAAACACTGATGCAAGGCTTCAGTGTAGTATCAACACCATGGACCCTTTTGAACCCTTGAACGTCATCTGTTGATACGCCAACAACTTACACAGCGTCGCACTCCTGAGCTTCAAAGAACGCAACAGGAACTCCATGTCCCGGCGCGCTGACAATCTCGGCCTTGTAGTGGTGTCACGACCGGCGAGGCTGACTGCCATAAGCTGGTCACGGATGACCTTTGTGATGGGGTTTGTAACCAGGACAGAAGACCTGACACCTCCGGCCTTGCGGATTTTGTAGTTAACCCAAGTATTTCGGGTCATGAACAGGGCCAGGATGAAACCCAAGATGGTAGCCCATGTTTGGTTAGAGTCCAGGGATAAGAGGGCTCTGAACTAATGGGTTGAGGCCCTGATGAGCACCCTATCGCGTGGTAGATACCCCCTGGCCTGAAGCTCAAAATGGATAGTGCGAGTTGGGTAGTCTGGGAGTGTCGATGATGAAGAAGTTGTGCTGGAGAAGGGCAGTGTCTAAACCGCGGCAGTAGAAGGATGAGATCTTGTCAGCAGCGGCACATAAGGCTAAAAACACGGTGATCCTCGTCTTTGAGGAGCTCCGGGGAGTCTGGGGTGTGGTATAATGAGGGGAAAGAGATGTAACCAGAAGAGGTGTTGGCTAATGGCAGCATCAGACTGTTTTCTTTACCTTTGGACATTAGCATTCCAAGGCTTCCATACCAGGAGGTTGAGATAAGGTTTGGTGTGGCCGACTGAACTCTCAAGCCACGCAAAGCCACGAATGGGCGCACGAGTCGTGCAACATGGGAGAAAACTATGATGGGAAAAAGCCATGTGATAGAAAAACGCCATGTGATGGAAGATTTGGCGGAACCTTCGGTGAGTCTTGAGCTCCGCTTGACCCCAGATGGGGTCCTCGGGACGGGTCAAGGGGAGAGGGTCTGGGGACTTGGGGGAGGAGCTGGAGACATCGTCATTCCCTTGCCCCGCAAGGCGCGAAGAGCTCGAGTCAGGTCGAGCATGACAAGCTTCGCGGGTCCAGGGGGGGGTTGCCATGGGGATATCAAGGTGTTACATTAGATGGAACTGAACCTGGAGAATAGGAGGAAGAATTGTAAAGTTTTGTAGGTAATTTGGAATTACTCGCGTAGTATTGATGACCGCCAGTGCTGCCTTACCGTCGCGCTTCAACATCATGGCGACAATGATTTTGAGGTTTGCGGACAAGCCGGGATGGATTGGAGTCCCGTCATGCCTGTACTCTGCTCGAGTCAGTGGACCTGTCAACAAGGTAAGTGACAGCAACATGCGCGGGGAGGGCTTGTCACTGTGAGTGTGGCAAGCGGGGCCCCCAGACGTCATTGTCAACATTGCAATGTTTACCGCGACCCGGTGTAAGTTGTAGAGTCGAAGGATTTGATGTTTCTGTTTGTAACCAACTCCCATGATTTCATCCCAAAGCTGCCGACGGATGGAGACTGACACAGTTTGGCCGAGGATAGGCGCACGAAGCACGGGCCCTTCACCAGCCGCGTGCAACTGCCGCGAGCTGGCAAAGAGCTGCTAGGTAAGGTAGGAGCTGGCTGTGCGGGCGGCAGAGCTCTCTGTCATCGGCCACCGCCTCGGCACCCAGCACGTCTCCAAAAAAACAACGGCAAAGCTGTTAGTGATTGGCTCAGGTAGGGCCGACGATGTTATCAGCGAGTCCATAATGGATCCCAATCGGTCCTAATCAGTCCTAATCAGGGCCCGTAGCGCCCTCCAAGTCTCCAACAGCAGCAGAACTCGAAGGGGGGAGCTAGGTCCAGTCCCCTCGTCGGGCGGGAAGAACTTGGCAGGTGTTGCATCGTCATTTTCACAGTCCCTGAAATCGCTGCAAAATATTCCTTCTCCCAACATCATCACCAACCCACCTCATCCTCTACCGTATCCCATCCGCCGCATCCTCACCATGTTCAAGCTCGGCCGCAACCGCGCATTGGCTTCTGCCTTTGCTGCCACCTCCAGGGTTCGTCGCGCCCCCTCTCAGCCAGCCGTGATGTTGTTCTATGCACCGTCGCATCGCATCGCATCCAAAACAAAGCAACAAGCAAGCTGACAACATGTTCCAAACACACAGGCTCCCCTCGCCTCCAGACTCCCCAGCGTTTCCCAACAACAAAGGAGAGCCCTCAGCATTCACGAATACCTCTCTGCTGATCTCCTCCGTCAGGTCAGTACACACCCCCAGAGCTCTGGTGCCCATAGCATTGGCTTATCTCTCTCTCTCTACCCCGCCCCGTCGCTGTCTGACTCCATCGATCGGTCCCGATTTCTAACGCGACACCACACATAACAGTACGGCATCGGTGTTCCCAAGGGTGATGTCGCCAGGACCGGCGCCGAGGCCGAGGCCATCGCCAAGCAGATTGGCGGCGAGGACATGGTCATCAAGGCCCAGGTTCTTGCTGGTGGCCGTGGAAAGGGTACCTTCGACAACGGCCTCAAGGGCGGTGTTCGCGTCATCTACTCCCCCACCGAGGCCAAGATGTTCGCCGAGCAGATGATCGGCCACAAGCTCATCACCAAGCAGACTGGCGCCCAGGGCCGTCTCTGCAGCGCTGTCTACATCTGCGAGCGCAAGTTCGCCCGCCGCGAGTTCTACCTCGCCGTCCTCATGGACCGTGCTTCTCAGGGCCCCGTCATTGTTTCGTCGTCCCAGGGTGGCATGGACATTGAGGGTGTCGCCAAGGAGAACCCCGAAGCCATCCACACCACCTACATCGACATCAACGTCGGTGTCACCGATGAGATGGCCCGCGACATCGCCACCAAGCTCGGCTTCAGCGAGCAGTGCGTCGAGGAGGCCAAGGACACCATCCAGAAGCTCTACAAGATCTTCTGCGAGAAGGATGCCACCCAGATCGAGATCAACCCTCTTTCCGAGACCTCTGACCACAAGGTCATGGCCATGGACGCCAAGTTCGGCTTCGATGACAACGCTGATTTCAGGCAACCCGACGTCTTCAAGCTCCGCGACACCACCCAGGAGGATCCCGATGAGGTTCGCGCCGCCCAGGCCGGCCTCAACTTCATCAAGCTCGATGGTGACATTGGCTGCCTTGTCAACGGTGCCGGTCTCGCCATGGCTACCATGGACATTATCAAGCTGAACGGTGGCCAGCCCGCCAACTTCCTTGACGTCGGTGGTGGTGCTACCCCCGCGGCCATTAGGGAGGCCTTCGAGCTCATCACCAGCGACCCCAAGGTTACCGCCATCTTTGTCAACATTTTCGGTGGTATCGTCCGCTGCGACGCCATCGCCCACGGTCTCATCAACACGGTCAAGTCTCTGGACCTCAAGATCCCCATCATTGCCCGTCTCCAGGGTACCAACATGGAAGCTGCCCGCCAGCTCATCAACGACTCTGGCATGAAGATCTTCTCCATCGATGATCTCCAGAGCGCTGCTGAGAAGTCTGTCCAGCTCTCCAAGGTCGTCAAGATGGGTAAGTTTATTTCGATTCTTCAACTTGGCAAAGCAAAGCAAAGCATGTGTGTGCTAACTGTTTTATTTTCCCAGCTCGTGACATTGACGTCGGCGTTGAGTTCACCCTTGGTATTTAAGCGAATCTCGGTCTTTGGGAATTATAGACAGGCGGGTGGTTACGGCTGACATGGATATTTCTAGCTTGATTTAGACTCTTACTATCTCTCTCTCTCAGCGTATGTGTGTGTGTGTATGTGTGGTTGGCAGGCATGATTGAAGGTTCTCTTTTTTTCCCGTCTCTTTTCCTGTGTACCTAATTGTTAGACGATGCACTGCACCGAGCCCTTTGATGTTATTGTTGGTTTCTTCGGTTGCATGCATCGTCTAGTCGACAAAAAGTTCTCCGTGGTGTGTTGCATGTCGAGGGAAAAAGTGGAAGGGCCGAGCTGTCAGTGTCATTGGGACCTGGGAAGATACCTCTCATTACAATACTGATGATACCATATCTTTGCTTGGCTTATACCGTGTCAAAATGCCTTCAACGCAACCAGATCTACGGATGACTGGGTATGCTAAGTGGTCGATACATCATGTCCACACACACTTTGACATTGCTCAAGACACGATAATACTTCTGCTCTTCCCCCCTCACACGTGAGTTCGTGATTGAAGCCAACACGAAGCTCTCCTCCGCGCACTTCATCTTGCGCTCTTCATTGGTCAGACAATAATTGTTAGTGCTATTCGATCTCCATATGTGTTAAGGTACATACTGTTGCTGTGGGTCTTATCGGCGTATAAGTGGGGAATCGCGGTTTGACGCGTCCCCCCAACGTCAAACGACCTTCTATGTTCTATCATCTCATCCACTTTTATTCCTTTCTCTTGGTTTTCATTTTCTTGCTCAGCATCTACATCTTATACTCAACTCGGTGATGAAAAATCTGGATTCTCTCAAACCAGTATTTCCAAGATCGATCGCTCTGAACGTTGCCGCGCCTTTGAAAAAGAAAAAGGGGGGTTACTGATCAACCAACCCCTTGGTCAAACAAGTGCCGACGGAAATATGTGGTCAAATCCAGAGAGGCGCATATCGAGCCTAATTGATAGCCTTCCGTCAACTGGCAAGCTGGAACGCTAAAATCTATGGGTAGTACGATGGGGCCCGCTGAATTGTTGTATCATCTTTGTCTTCGATATGGTTGCAGTGTGCTATCAATACCTCTATGCAAGATACGCCCCTCCTGACTGATGTTTGCGGTGTTTCCTCCGCCTCATGGCAATTGGTCTGAGCCACGAAACAGCCGACCAGGGATCAGAATGGCGTTCGTCTGAATGTTTGCCCAAGTGCACCACCACCGAGTCTCAGACCCCTGTTCGACGACAATGAGTTTGCCAAACACCCTATGATTCTCCCTTGGAAACGATATGACATTGCATTGTGGAGATTGATATTACATGTCAGGACTCTTTAGACGAACATGAACAGTGATGGAAGAACAAGCGGCCAGACGCCTCCTTTCGCTGGAAGCAACATACCAGTGGCGGTTGGGATGGAAGACCTGATTTTGTGGTAAATAGTTGCTTGGTGGCTTGGAGTCTTCGGTGCTATCGCCATACGGCAGGCACTACGACACAATTGTTCTAGGGATTGGGGAAACATATACCGTGGTGTGAGAGAGAGGGAGGATAGGTTTGTACATCGTGAACTCGTCCTTCTGTATTCTCAAACATTCTGTTGCTAGTTCCCGTCGTTTTTGACACAAGAACTAACTCCATGATGCTCATGTCCGAATACCTACCCTCTCCTCAGTATTGGCAAAGGCTTGCTCCCACTCTCATCCTTCGACATTTGGACGGATCATCAAGATGCGAGTTTTATCAGCACATGATATCAATAACCAACTCAGCAACCCATTCAAACGCGCCACATCCTTCCCTCGGCAATGCTCTGATTCCTGCCGTAAGCCGAATCTTTTATCATCCAACTGAATTTATACTACCGCTACCAACCTATGGTATCGAGCTCTTACTATTCGTCTGGACCGTAGACTAACAGAGGGAACGTCAACAGGCAATGCTCAACTAGAATGCCAACGAAACCCACTGTCCCCCGCCCTCTGCGATCCAGGGAGCAACTTTCTCCAGCAATACAACCAGTGTCAGTCATGCATCGAAGAGAACAGCAACAATCCGGAGCTGATCAAGGCAAGTCTGGCGATGAGGTTCATGAAGTGTACCGGGTATTGCAAGTTACAAGCAAGCACCAGTGCGCCTTCGTCAGCAACTCAAACGGAAATTCCGACTGCCGGACAAGATGGAGATTTGTTTACGACAGCAACAACGAAGACTTCCAGCACTTCTTCCACTTCTGCTATACAAACGATGATATCAACGAGTGCAAATGTGGACTACAAAGCGGAGACAACCACTTCCACGTTACCTGCAACATCAAAGCCAACAACATCACCGGCAATGAACAACCCACCCACCTTACCTACAACATTCACTTCCGCTCCCCAATCTACTTTTACCCCCCCTTCCTCTTCTTCCTCGTCGTTATCATCATCAACCCCCACATCCCTCACCACCATCCTCGACACCACCACACAAACCCAGATATCATCACTCACCTCCCCCACGGACAAAAGTCTTATAAATTCCACTTTACTACCTCTACAACCAAGCTCTGATATCACTAGTACCAACAACAACACCAAAACCGCCCCGTGGGTCTGGGTCATCGTCGGCATAACCATCACCGTCGTCTTTCTCCTTTCCAGCGGGAGTTTCTTCTTCTTTTACAAGAAGGGGAGATCGAAACGGGGCTTGACCAGACATGAGGGAATGAAGGGGATGGTGGAGTTGAAGGAGACGACGGTGGGGAGCCATGGGTTTGTTGATGGGTGGAGTGATGCGGCTTCTTTGAGGACGGGGACGACCAGGGCTGGGATAATGAGGAGGGTCATGGATGAAGCGGGTGGACCTGGTAGTAATGTGATGGAATTGGAAGGCAGTGGCAGTGGCAGTGGCAGTGGCAGTGGTGGAGGGAGGGGTGTTGGGGGAATAGGAACTACTAAGGGGAATGGGAATGGGAATGTACCGCCGGTTGAGATGCCGAGTTGTGGGAATGGGTTTGCGGAGTTGCCTACGGAGTTTAATCGGAGGGGCCCGGGGGAGGAGGTGGTGGTGGTGAAGTGAGGAAGAATTGACATTGGACTGCATCGGGTTGTGTCGGGTTTCTGGGGAAAAGCCGAGACCACTGCATCACTTAGTCACCCGACGGAGCGAAACGAATGCATTCATGCGAAAATGCTCGAATGTGGATGCTAATTCCGTTTTGATACTGAGGTTTCAAATCAGTTGCTGTGGCGGGATCCCGAATTCCAGTCATCAGCAAGTGATACTTATGGGAAAGAGCTACCCGAGAAGTGGAAACGGAAGAAAGAAATGGAGCTATTGGAGATACTTCAGAATAAACGAGTGTGAAAATAAGGAATACCCGCCCCCACCAAATTATGTTTGAGGATACCTAGAGGTACCAACGCGTGCGATGGTAATGCTGCCTTTGCCATCCATCTCAGCTGTGAAGACAACTCCTTGAAAACTGAAGGAAATCTTCCGACCACAAAAGGAAGGAAAATTCACTGAAAATAACAGGAAAAAAAGAAGAAAAAAAGAGAAGACCAGATGACAGAAATTCAAATGACCTTACCACTGGCTGCAGTGTTGGATGTCTGTGATCCTGTGTCATCTGAAGTAACCTAGGTAGGTTAAGAGTCGAGAGTACCTTGCCTTCCTGTCTGGCGTGTAGTAGTACAAAATCATCTTCCCTCCTTCTCTCCTTCCCTCCTTCTCTCCTTCCCTCCCAACACTAACAAACAACCCTCCAACTCCGTCCCACCAGGGGCATGTGCACCCTCCCCTTCCTCGTCAAAATCAACAACGAAACACACCCACCCCTCCCAGCCACCACAGCCTTCTGCACATTATCATCCACTCACCCCGGCCCGTTGTAAAAGATGACAGCGCCACAAGGGATGTCAAGTGTCCAGCTGATCGATACGCTCCCGTTAGATTGCGGCCGGCAGCTGGTGCCGGCTTGGATGGTCATGACTGTGTTGATATCGGTTGTGTTGGTGCAGTTGGGGGAGTTGGGGGAGGTGGCGGTGGTGAGGAAAGTGGAGGGAGAGAAATGTAAAGAGAAGAAGAGCGTGGGCGGTGGTGTGTGGTAGACGAGTCATCGCGTGTTTT